TCATTAAATGACTCTAAATTTAGAAAAAATAGTGGGGTTTTTTTGCTTGAGTATTTTATGTATAATGCAAACAAATTAATAAGTAAAAACTATATATTCTCAAATTCCTACACCAACATTATAACAATATGTTGTCCCAACTTCCCTTATATTTGAAGATAAGTGCATGTTGGATTGCAGCACTTCTTCATGTTAAAAATATGATTATACACAAACAGTATTTGGGTCCTAAACCACTAAAAATAATCACCACGCAACTACTTGAAAATTACACAGGCATAAAATGTTAACAAAGAATGGCAGTTATATTTATGCTCACTTTCTGGAATACTTGGTAATATTCATAAAGGCACATTCCAGTAGTTGAAGAGTACAAGGCCTTGGGCCCGCCCCGTGGCTCACTCCCTCGCCCCGTGGCTCACTCGGGAGAGCGTACTGCTGGGAGCACCGAGGCCGCGGGTTTGGATCCCACACCGTGCAGAGGGTTGCGATCCTTTACCGGCCAAAAAAAAAGAAAAAAAAAAAAAGGGAGTACCAGGCCTTGAGACAGTATCTAGCCCAGTACTACTTAAGATTCTCCTGTGCTCCGTTAAGGACATTTTGGGGGAACTCTTCTGGGAAATATCTCAATCTCATCTAAGTTCTAGGAACCACTTTCTATGACAAACAACCCAACTCTGAAACAAAGCACCTGGTGATCTTTAGTTTGTGATGCCTATATGATACTTTTAAGTTACATCGATTAAGATACGATCCATAGATGTGATAAAAATAAAAAACTACGACAGAGTTCAATGGAAATGAATTAAACACAATAGGTTTAAAAATTTACTATTTTTTGATTATGTTTCACCAATTCAATAACTCCACTGATCAAGTATTCACATTTTAACTTTTGATTAAATATTTGAATTAAATTTTTTCCCCTCCCTTCTAATGTTGTGTTTTGTTTAACTGCTGACTACTGCAGTAGCTCTCTCCTCCACTACCCCCCCAGGGAAAAAAAGAAATAATCTTCCAAAGGACTCTCAACCAAATCAAATCCCAGGAATAACAACTGTCAGATGAATATAAATTAACATATAAGTACATAATGTTTCACTTTTCTGACACCATTAATATGGTTGCACTTACATGAATTGTTCTATCTGTGGCATCAGAGAAATTACACGAATAAAGTTCTCTTGTGCCGATTAAGCAGTAAAAGTAGGTATCTATATGAAAGAAAATCCCTAGTATACAACTATTTCACATCAAGGTCAAATAACAATTATTTGAATGCCTAATATATACTAAGCAGCGGGAAAGAACCTTAAGAACCTTCTGCTTTGGGGAAAAAGGCGATGGGGGGAAAAGAAAAGGTCTCTCTTTTAAAATAGTAATCCCTATATTCTGTACCCACAAGATACCTGATACAGTATCCAGTGTTAGAGAGTTGAAGACAGTCACTATCTGAGGCAATTAGTACTAGAAAAAGTCAAAGCAAATGGACATACAACTCAGAAAAACACTTCTCACAATTTTATACTAACCTAACATCAACTCCAGTTGAACCTCACTTAAATAATTTAGAATCTCAAGGTAAATAGACTGGTCTAACACAAATAGTATTTTATCTCACAATGAACATAAGAAAGTAGATCAGCCTAAAGTTTCCAAAAATATCAATGATTTTCAAAGTTCACAGGAATCACATACAAATTTCCACACGGCTACTTTTCTAGAACTGTTCTAATAATAATGTCTGGGATATAAGCAACTACCGATAGTAAGAAGTAAAGGTTATCCCATATGCCCACAGAGAGGTATAGAAAAATGTTCACTGCCTAAATTACTTTTTTTTTTTTTTAAGTTAACATAATAAGACTAGCAATCGCTGGTTTTGAGATGTAATTGATTTGAAAGACAGTAATGCCCTGAGAAGTGTAGATACTGCCGCGGCAAATGATGCCTAACTTAACTGAAATTGAGTTTAAATAATGAGAAACAGCTCTTTTTGCTATACAAACAAACATTTTGGTGTGTCCCTATTTTATTTTGAAATACTGATTCCAACCTGGAACTATAAATGGGTGGGGAGAAGTGAGGTAGGGCAATGTGGGTCAATTCTAAAAAATACCTTAAGAAAATTAAAGGTAAGTATAGTACAAGAAGTCACCAAACTGATTTGCATAATTGCTTGCAAACAGAATACAAAGTATTTACAAAGCATTTATTACATAGTTATATGAGCTGTTGCTAAAGGTCTACTTTAGTATATAGCCTTCATTAATGTATACTTGTTCCCATGCCTTCTTATTCTGAGTAGTTTTACCTTAAAATTATTACATAAAATAGCATAAAGTATTTGGAAGAGTTGTTAACCCAATTCCTTTTGTAAACATTCAGTATTATTTGAAATTGCTAAAACAAAACTATTTAAATGTTTCTCTGATTATAATTTTGTTTGTATTCAACTGTTAACAGGTTTATAGACCTACTTGAGTCAACTGTTTTCACTATTCTTTCATCTTTAAATTCAATCTCATGTAGCAATCTAGCTCCATCTGGAGGAAAAGCAAATGTAACCAAGTGATATTTAAAGATTCCTATAGTTTTCCTATGAGTAAAAGTAAGTTTAAATATGGAAAACTAAGACTCATCTGGGGGTACATGATCTTAATTTTCTACCAGCGTTAAAAGGACAAGGAAATTGTTTTATAATTTGTCATTTTATTTAGAGTCCAAATGTCTGCAATTGAGACACTAAATGAATGTTTTCTCTCCTTAAAAAAATCTAAAAAGAAAAACAAAAAATCCAAGTCAGTTTGGTTTCTACTCCTAAAATAATGCAAAGTGATTTTATTACTAAAAATATTTAGAAAGGGGGAAATCTAGGGCCGGCCCGGTGGCGCACTGCTACAGTGCGCCGCTTGGGAGCGCAGTGGCGCTCCTGCCGAGGGTTCGGATCCCACATGCAGACCAGTTCCCGCTCACTGGCTGAGCAAGGTGTGGGAGCAACACCTAGGGTTGCGATCCCGTTGCCGGTCCCGGTCCGGTGCGGGCGCGACACTGAGGGTTGCGATCCGTTGCTGGACACGAGGAAGGACAAAAAGGGAAAAAAAAAAAAAAAAAGAAAGGGGGAAATCTATACTTTGATTATATCATCATCATAAGAGGATACCTGGGTATTGATTCAGGCTTTATACTATAAGGGAGTAAACAACTGGTGACCGCTCTATTTTGACAGTATTGAAAAGGCTTCCTGAAGGTTTGCTACAGCTCAAAACAGAAGGGGAAATACTAGGTTAGAAAGCATGCTGAGATTTTAAAGATCCTAAGGCTCAGGTTTAGGTAATTTTTAAACAAAAATATGCATCTTGAACTCAAGTGTAAACTCTGAATTTTGAAGCAGAGGAGTTGCATATAAATTTATTTTTTGGTAGTTGAATTACTAACACAAGACAAAAGGAATGCACAGTATATCTCTACTTACATTATTAAAAAACTAGATTTTAGTCATTCCTTTATGAATTCCAATGTTAAGATTGTATTAAAGATTGCAAATTGTGTTTGCATGGTAAATTATTATAACAATTCAGTGCTTTCTTTCATAAAATATGTGAGAAAAGTGTGATTTTAATCATCTAAGTTGAGAATTTGAAGTAATTTTGTAATTCTGACTAACACTGAGTTAAGCTTTTCCTAAGAGGTAGTCTGAAGTGTATAAATACTGCTCCAGTGAATTATTCACCTAAATAGTTTTCTTTATAGAGCAATGTATGCAAACATAGTTTTAAAAAAATCTATTTCATATAATTTGAATTCACAGACTTTTAAAATATGTAGGCTGGAATATATACATATAGATGTTATGAATACCCTAATAAAATGAAAAGGAGGATTGGATTGTCATAAAGTTGGGGATCCTGGCTGGAGGGAGCACCAGGCATAGGGAAAGTTGCATAATAGATAGGTCAATAAGGTCCTTTCTGCAATAGACAGAAACACTTGATGAGCAAAAACTAACAAATCCTAATGTGGAGGTAAACTTCATCATCAAAAGGTCTGGTCAGAATCTTAATACTTTCACTGCCAAAAATCTGACCCTATTTGAGGAATTTCAGGTGCAAGCCCTTCTTAGTTTTTAAAATGGAAATCAGTGGCAAAGCAGGATTTTGCTTTAAAGAAATTCCTTTTATAGTCAGTTTTATTGGGACATATAAATTTCATTAAAATTTTAATACGGTATTTGGAAAACAGGAAACAATTAAAAATCATATATAAGTACCAAAATAATTTTTAAAATCCTTTTTAAAGATACTTAACTGTTATAATTCTAAATAAAAGAACATAATCCTAAATCAGTATTTTTTCCTCCCATTAAAAAAAAAAAAAACCTGAAACTTGAATTTTCTTATAAGCAGATTCAGAGTACCAAAATTCAGTCTAAAATACCTAAAGTTCTAATTTTCTCCACTTAAGACTTCTTTTCAGAGATGTTCTTTTAGTTCCTAGCCCAATTTTGTTTAAAATATCTGAAGAAAAGCAATAAAAAACCTAAAGAAGGCTCATTCATTATTTGAAAACTTCTGGATTTAAAAATCCTTCAAAGCATGTTCACCTATATTAATAGGTTAACTTCATTGCTCCTAATGATACTGTATATTTTAAACAATGATGATTCTCTTATTTTCTGCAAAATACCATTCTATATAAACTTTACTATAAAGTACTTTTTCACTAGTTCTCCCTCTCTCCATTATATTTCCTATCCTGTTTTCAACAAAGCATTTTTTAATCTTTAAAAAAAACCCATTTGAAAACTATAACTTATGACATCCCATTCTCTAAAACCACAATTTTAAATCTAGTCTTTTTGTTACTTGTTAAAAACTAAAATCTAGTCTTTTATTCTTGTTACTTACCTGGAATTTTGTTTCCCCATTTCCCTAAATGATTTAAACTTTGGGGATTGGCTCATGATTCTTCTACTAAGTACTACAAAGGGAAAATTGATGTTGGCATACATAGTCCAAATATAGTTTTTAATGGCACCTGAGTGACAGCTCCCTCTCATTATTTTTAATCTTCTATATTCTAGAAATTTAAAACCATCCCTTAAATAGTCAAAAAGTTAGAACAACTAAATCTAATTACAAAATCAATCATATTCAGGACATCCTGAATGCAAATACTTCTTTCATAATCCAGGTGTACAGTTTAACGGACACTGTTTAATACAGCACCTCTCAGATCTGACATTATCTATTGTACGTAAAATTTGCCTCACACTGTTATTGTATTTAAATTTACCCTGTTCCCCACTCACCACATGTATAAAATATTCTACTTTTCCTCTCACTATTTTACAAACTGATCATTTTCATCATGAGTAATGGATCTTCCTATTACTCACCCTGTGCCCCACCAAATATACCAATAACATAATGATCAGATTATGAAATTTAACATCTTTTTTAAAAATGTGCTTTCTTTTCCCTGTATAAGTTTTAAGTCTCCACTATACAATTTGTGATTGATACCTCAGTTACAAATCACAGCACCTATGTATCTGCCCCTGTGAGAATTCACCTGTCATCTAAGACTCTATCTTGAACAGTTAGAGAAATCAATAACCAGAGTTCAAAGGAAAGCAGTTACCTTCATAAGACCAAATTACTAGAATAAGTGGTCTTGTAATATGGCTTAACATTAATATGGCTATAACATAGAGATTAGTCCCTGTTTTTCTTTATTAACAATATAACCTGATCACAATTTTTTAAAGTCTAGACTAGTTTTCCATATGTTTTATGTATTTTATTCTGACATCATCTTTTAAAAACAAAAGGACGCAAACATTTGCACTTATCAATGCCTTTTTCTTTAGATGAAGTTTCACTTCTTTTCTTCAGGCTTTTTGTCACCAAGAAGCAAGGTCTGATTTCAATACTGCCCATTTGCTGTGAAAGTATCAGAAGGAGTTGTCTTCAAAGCAATACTCCCGTTGGGCTTATTCACTGATTAGCTGCATAATTTCTTCTACAACATTTGTAACAGACACAACATATATAGAATTGCAGTTTGGGGTTTTTTTTCCTCCTTTTTCCTCTTTTTTTAAATAAGTGTGTTTCCTGCTTCTCATTCATATTTTCTTTTCTTTGAATATATTGCACAATATTTTATTATTAAAAAAGGTTTTATGTCTCAGGCAAAAAGTTTTTCTCCTTCACTCAGAAGGTGCTAATGTGTATTATTTTCTAAAAGAGGTAAGTGGTTGTCTGTGTGGCCATCCTCAAATGGGACCTAGGGGTAAAAAAGGGGGAAAAAAAAAGACCAAGGCATCAGTTTTATTCCTTATACTATTTCCTCTATACACAAAGCTTTATTTGGGGCAATTCTTTCTGGGCACCAAAAGCTACTATTTAGACTTAACAATAATCTTAAACATGATTTAGAGATCAGCACCATGTATACTATACCACTTACAGAATTGACGGGTTTATAGGATCCAAGTCTGAAACGACAGCAAATTATTTCGACTATAAATTTTCCAATTCCATGTAACATGCCTGTAATAAACAATAAGTTTATGCTTTCAGTTAAATTATTTCCTAAATTGCTACATAAGAATAAAACACTCAACTGAGTATAATTAAGAAAGGAAACAAAGCAGTATGCATTACTCACTTCCATGGTTAAAATAATCAAGATAGTTATATTTTAAAACAAATTCTTCTCAAAATCACAAGGCCACATAATTCATAACCTTTACACAATCAATCTTTTCAAAGTTTTCATACACCCACACAATTTTGAAAAAATTAATATCAACAACACAGATTTAAATGAACTTAAATGAGGTAGTAACAAGGAATTTTACAAGAAAAGCTATTCACTTGTTTAAAAAATATGATTCCAAGTATGTAAACTACACAGCTCCATGTAATACTGAATACAGATTGGACATGTATAAGGAACTGTTTCCTTTCTTTATCTATCATACTTAACTCTCAAATTTTCATGATTACAGCTGGCTGGTTAGCTCAGTCAGTAAGAGCATGGTGCTGATAACACTAAGGTCCAGGATTCGATCCCTGTACCCGTCAGCCACCAAATATTTTTTTCATGGTTACAATTCTACAAACAAATGGTCTTTGAAAAAAGTCCAGAATCTCAGGCCAAAAATCACGAAAATATTATAAACTGAAAGTCTGGATTCACTTATTACATAGTTCGAAGTACCATAAAATATGATTTGACATACTGTAATAAAAATACCTTAAATGAAAAGAAAAATCTGCATTCATGTCTATTATTTCTAGGCATTTTCTCATTTAATTCTATAACACATTTCCAAGTTAGATATTACTATTCCCATTTTTACAGATGAGAAAATTTCAGAAAAGGCAGGTGACCTATCCAAGGCTACCAGCAAATAAACAGCAGAACTTGGATTCAATTCTAGTTACGTCTGATGTTAACAGCCAGGATCTTTGTAGCTTACCATATAATCTCCCTTAAATTACTGAATACAGTGAAATTGGTTATGTGTACTGGTTATTCTATACAATTTTGGATCTTTGGACTTAAATATTAAAGAAAAAGTTCTTTAAATATCAAAACATGAGAATGTATAATTCTTGCCCCTTTTAAGTAGAAGCATCTTAAACATAAGCAACACTTTTAGAAATTCGACAAAAAAGAAATGAATGTTAACCTGTTGTTGAAAAGATTCCTCCAACAATACCACAGAGTCTTACAAAAAACTGCCAGAATGGCATATGCTCCTCAGTAACTGTCACCATAAGAGAACTGAGATCATATTTCATAAATATCCCAGAGACTCCATGGCTGCCTGCAGCATGGTTAATGATACGTTCCTAAAAGAAAGGTAAAAAGAAGGGTAGAGATAGGAGGAAGGGAGAAACAGAATTCATATCATCTGGTTATTTGCACACACTCAATATTAAGCCCTTACAGCCCTACTGTAAAAGAGGGACATCCAAATTTCTTTTTTTTTTTTCCAATTTTCTATATAAATTGTTTTTTCCTTCCTACTTTCTCAAAAGGTCACTTTATATATAAGTTTTCTACTGAGCTTAAGAGCTTACAACTGTATGGCATCTTCCTTATTGACCAAATCAATAAAAACTAAGTTTATGTTTTGACATACTTTTTAAAATTTTTTGTTTGCTAGGAATTGATTAAATAACTGTATTTACTTCCTGTCATTTAAATGATCAGATTTAAAAACAAGTAATTTATTTGCTGTTGCTTATTTTAAACTATATGATACAATATAGGAAGAAAACATAATGCATCTATTTGGAAAATACCAATATTTGAGCTACTGGTTCAGTTTTAAAAGGATTTACTTAAAAGGAATGTAACTAAAATTATAAATCTACCAAAGTGTGCAGGCTGAGTAAAAGAAATTCTATTTCATTTCATGCTGTTTACACTTCCAAAATCAAGTTTGCAAACTTTCTCATAAATTTCTATTATAGCTCCAACAACTATGTTGCCACAGTGCTTTAGCTAGTTTTATTGGTAAAATAAAATTTTTTGTGCCAGGCGTTACCCATTTAATTATGCTATTCCTTAAAGCTTTAGGAATACAAATAATGAGGTTGACTACTACAAAGAGAAATTAAAACTTTCATGTGGGGCAGGCATTACAAAACCGTTTCACCTATTATTAGCACAATAGAGCCTTATAAGCCATTGATCAAGTTCCCAATAAAATGATTCATCTTAAAGCTGTGAATGCTCAATATAATGGTGAAGTTATAAATATACTGCTACTACCTATAAGGTAGAAGCTGTTTTAGGGATCAAGGCATCTATGAAGCAAGAGGCCAATAATGATTAAATTGGGTTCCAGGACCAATGAAGGTCAGCTTTCCCCCTCCTTGCCCCCTATTCTACACTTTACCAATTCCAGCTTCTCCATTTCTTTTTTTTAAGTCAAACACCTTATCAGCACAACAAACACATTCTTCAAAAGTCAAATGCTCTGGGATTCTACTATATTTTTTTCTTTTTGATTTAATTTTGCTATTTTTATATATCTCCTGTAGATAATTTTATATCGGCATATAAAGATCTTCCTTATTTTTTTTCCCACAGTTGCATGTTCCTCTGTTATGTATATGCACCACTTCAGTTGTTTTCAGTCTTCTATTACAGCAGATAACAATGCAATCAATAACCTAATACACATCATTTTTGTATTTTTCCCACTGTACCTTTGGAACAGATTTCTAAAAGTGGGAATGCTGAGTCAAAGGTCAAATGCATATGTCATACTGCCAGACTCCCTTCCACACAGAGACTATGCCATTTTGCATTCCCACAGCGATGCATATGTGCCTGTTTTCCCCAAACAGGGGAAGGCTTTCCCCAAAGCCTTGCCAACTGTGTATACTGTCTTTCAGGTGTTTATCAGTCTTACAGGTGAGAAATGGTATCTCCCCACACCTACAGAAATATTGAAAAGCACAATACATACTTGTGTACACTTTACCTAGTTTCTGCGTGTGTGTGTGTGTGTGTACAAACACATACATATATATACAATTTGGTGTTTCTCCCTAAACCAACTGAAAAGTTACAGACAAGACACATGACACTTCATCCCTATAAACATCAACACCTAGTCTCATAAGAATAAGGAAAATTCTACAATTGTTGAGGACATGGTCATCATTAATTATAAGACTATTTAAGTGCTTTATAATAAGCACTTAAACTCTGCCTTGGGATTTTTCTGGATATAAGTGTTTGAATAGTCATCATTCTTAAACACAAAAAATAAGAAAATATGACTCCAGAGTAGATAAGAAATCTATTAAACAGTCCTGTTCCAAAACTCTGCTCCTCACTGTCAGTATTTATTTATAAGGCCACACCATCCTAAGGTTGCAGAACATTCTTCCTCTCAATCAGTTGAAAGTAAAGCATTAACTTAAGAAGGCAAACCCTCTAAATTCGCCATTTGATCTACAATAACCATGCATGCCTCAGGATAGAAACATTTATTAAAAAATAAATAACACAGAAATCAGAGAATCTGCTTCTGGATTAAGAATTACTTACATGAGGAAGCATATTACAAAATTAAGACATTAAGAATAAAGGGCCGGCCCGGTGGCGCACTGGGTGGTGCGCCGCTTGGGAAGCGCGGCGGCGCTCCCGCCCGAGGGTTCGGATCCCACATACAGACCAGTTCCCGCTCACTGGCTGAGCGAGGCGCGGGAGCAGCACCGAGGGTTGCAATCCCGTTGCCGGTCCCCGGTCCGGTACGGGGGCGACACTGAGGGTTGCGATCCGTTGCTGGACACGGAAAAAGACAAAAGACAAAAAAAAAAAAAAGAATAAAATAAAAGGGCCGGCCCGGTGGCACACTCGCTGTGCTCCCGCCGAGGGCTGGGATCCCATATAGAGACCGGTCCGCTCACTGGTTGAGCACGGTGCAGGCACGACACCGAGGGTTGCGATCCCGTTACCGGTCATGAAAAAAGACAAAAAGGAAAAAAAAAAAAAAAAGAATAAAATAATAGCAACACAGTTTAACAATTTAAAATCCTAATGAATTAGAAAACATCTCAGTTTTTAAAAAAAAAATCTACTTTTTTGTTTTAGAATATACTAATACCCATTTCTTCTATATTATTGGCTTAAAATAAAATTCATTTCAAAAGTTCCACAAATTTTAAATTTGGGGAGAGTGCCAGCTAAAACTCCCACCTTATTTTATAGCCAAAGGACTTTAAAACACTAAAAAAGATGAATAAATAAATAAACTAATCATTTTACCAGTTGAATTTAACTTACCCTTTCTGTTACAGAAAATTGATGGGTGTCTGCTGAAATCTTATATGTATGTAGTTTAGTTGGCACAACTGTAATAAAGTATTGGAACATCTGGTTATCTAGAATAAAAATAAAACATGTTTCTTCATCAATGCTGTAGCAACAAAACCACTACCAAATATATTTTTCTTCTATTGAACATATTTAACCTGTTATATATTATATTATTGTTATCTATTATTTAATGTCTAACAAACAATTTTAAAAGAAAGATACTAATACTTGGTAAAACAAGTTCTCAGTAAACATAAAATAGGCACACACACAGATGTTAAAAAAGATTTAACTAGTGACTTAGAAATCCATTATAATCATCATCATCCTTTTATAAAACATGGAAAAATAAAAGCAGCCTTCCTGTATAGTACAGAAACTAATAAGAGTAAAATAAATTTACAATAGAATAACCATCACAAAACACATTTTCAGCTTCTACTAATACCTTAAGATATACTAATATAAAAATTGAATTAGCCAGCCTTTGAATAAATACTAGGAACTGATACTACAGCAAGAAGATAACCAAAGAAACTACTCAGTGATGATCTGGGGTTACTGTGTAATCAAAACGATCATTTTTATATAGTCATGAGGCATCTCTAGCTTTGATATAAGTTATAAATGCCAGTATTTTACCAATTAGTAATTAATTATAAACAACAGTTCACATAATACAAATCATGCTAATTGTCTAGGTATATTTTTTTAATAATTAGAATTAGATACTTCTATCTATAGTTACAGGTAGATAAGTATGTTGATCTTTTCATTATCTGTTTCTTAGAGATAAAGAAATTGAGGTACAGGGATGTTAAGAAACACGCCCAAAGTCACTGAGTTACTAAGTTGCAGAGCCAGGACTTGCACCCTGGCAGTTTCATTAAAGGGGATCAAGGTCTTAAACTTAAAAGGGGATAAATCCTCCCAGATTCTCTACCTTGTGTAATGAAGTAGGGACTTGCACCCCTTTGGACAAACAGGAATGAAAACTTTGGCCTTCCTCTCCACTTCTCTTCCACTCATGGAAGGAGTAATTCAATTGGCAAGCTGAGAAAAAGCAATCAGCACTCAGCTTGACAGTCTGGGTATTCTCTCTTTCAAACAGGCCTGTCTTCAAGACATACATATCTACCTGCCTACCATTAGGAAATTGACCTGTCCCTGCTATTTGACCAGCTGGGAGAGTAGGAGGATGTAATATAAGATTAGGTTATCCAACTGTGGCAGCGCACGCATGTTGTTTTTTTCAGTCAGCTTCATTAATAATAAAGCAGCCTTATTCACTTCATCCAAGTTTTGTTTTGTTATGTTTTGTTTTTCAAATACCATAGCCTCTTCCACTTCCTTTCTTCTCTCACAGGCAATCTCCTTTATTTTCTTCACAGTCACTTATCCTAACACTTACTATCTCCAAACATTAAAGATTACCTGGTTCCCTACAGAAATATGTGCTCTAGGAGGGGCAGGGACTACGTCTATCTTGCTTATCATTGGGCTCCTGATGCCTCAAATAGTACAAATATAAAGTATTCAATAAATATTTGTTGGGTGAATAAACAACCTTTTTAAAAATCAACTTTGAGGTATAATGCATATACAATAAAATGCACCAATTTTAAATGTATGGTTCAATACATTTTGAGAAATATATCCACCCATACAGTCACCACCACAATCAAAATATACAATACTCTCAAAACCTCAAAAAAGTTCCTTCAGATACCCCCTTCAGAGTCAATCCCCTGTCTTTGACCCTGGGCCAACCACTAACCTGCCTGTTTTAGAATTTCATATAAATGTACCCATACGGTATGTACTACTTTGTGTGTCTAGCCTCTTTTGCTCAGCATAAAAGAATTTCTATTTCCACCAATCCGATATCTGTTTCTAATCTCAAGCTAACTCAGAATAGGGGAGGAAAGAGTAAAACTGTGAATAGGTAGGAGAGAGGTAAGACTAATGATCTCTTCTAACACTAACATTAAATAATCCTCTAACAAAATAAAGAAAAGCCTGTTTCAACTTCACCACTTCTTATTTTGCCTATCACATGTACCACTATAACTTTCAAAAGCAAAGTTTTTGACTACTATTAATGTCAACTTAATATCCTAAATATTCTCACAGATAATAGGGATAAAAGGTTGTCAACTTTGTCTACCACTAATATATGGCTTATCAATTGATAAGGGTCTTCAGTTTCATACTTTGAGTTACACCTGTGATGTAAGGTGATCTGCTCAATCTGTGCTTGGTTTTGAGGTGTTTTACAAATAAACTCTGTCATGTAATAAACAGAGAGAGAGCTGTAAGTGCTAAGAGAAAAAGGTGTCCAAGTATTAAGTATTTATGAAAAAAAGATAAAATTGAGAATGGTGAGGTAATAATCACTGCTGTAAATATGGGTGGAATAATTAGACTTGAAGGAAAAAATGAAGTACAAAAGGAATCACACCACATGTGAAGAGAAAAGTGCCGATGCAATAAATAATAATTAAGAAGAGCCAAAGAAATGTGATGGGAAAAATTTTAAATCTTTAAGCTGTGGTCAGAGGACTATTGAAGATCTATTTATCTAATGTTAATTCAGGAAAAGGCTATAAGTTTGCTAGAGAACTTAATGGCCAGGCAAGGTAAAAATGCTGTTGTATGAAATTTTTGTTGCAAGGCACAGGTTGTTCCAAAGGTAATGCCAAATCTGCACAGCATTAAAGATGTTGTAACTGCTAAGTAACCCCTGCAATACTTCTGGAGAACAACAGAATTGTAACACTGATTTTTTTTTTTCTTTTTGGAAAAAGAGGCCAGATAGGATACACATTCCACCTCCATATCTGCAGATGCAGAACCCAAGGATTTGGAGGGCCAACTAAGGGAAATGAGCATGCATGGATTTTGTTGTCTGCGGGGCTTCTGGAACCAGTCCCCTGTTGATATGGAGGGGTGATTATATGTTAGGAAGGAGAAGAGTACACCCGCTTTAAAGCTTTATATAACCTAGTGACACTCATCAAATGGCATTTCATAACATAACTCTAAATATCTTTCAGTTTCTCTGAATTTAAGAACAAGTGTACTTAAAAATAGCTTTTTGAAAATTAACCTGTTTAAACTTAGTAAAGCTCTGTACAAAAATCTGTAGTTCATTTTAGCATCTTGAAACAAAGTATTAACCAACACGTTTTCAAATGAGCATCTCTTAGGTAGCATGTAATGCATTTAAATACAGAAAGAACATATACTTAGATTAGTGATGAGATTACACTGAATGAAGTCTATAATCCTCAGAATGTTTCCATTCACACATTTCCAAATTTATTACACTTAAGTTTCCTTAAGTGGAATATTCCCACGCAAACATAAAATACTCATGAATGTAAACCAATATCCTAAGTCAAACATCTTTAATGTATCTCATTACAATACTATGCTAAGAGTAAAGAATATTAATAAATCTGAAAATATTAACAAATCTACTTAAATTAATGAAAAATTAAATACTTGATTACAATTTTACAATGGCTAGAATTCCTAGTAGCTGAAAAAGCTTTAAGTCCTTAAAAGATGCAATATATGGACCATGTCATACAATATGACTAAGAAGAAAGGCGAACAAAAACCTTCAGAAAACATGAAAATAGACTACTTGCTACAAAACTAAGAAAATAATCCTTCTTGTTTGCATAAACTGATACTTTAAATGAAGTAGAAGTTTTAAAAGAACATTAAAAAAAGGTTATCTGCACTATAATGTACTATTTTTTGACTGTTTTAATAACCCAACCATTCTAGAATAACTCTAAGTTTCTGATGTTTGTAAAATTCTCCATAGAGGTTTCTAAAATGGTAAATACACATTTTAGAACTTTCAGAAAGTTGAACCTATACAGAGAAGAAAATTCTTCTTATAATGTCGAAACTTTCTTTTATTCTTATTCTTTCTTTGCTGAATAAGGAAAAGTACAGTTATGCCCTATTAACATATTAACCTTTTTTGATATACTTAGAGTGTTTATATTCTTCTCCTTCTCCTGCCTACTTTTTATTTCTTTATTCTGTTCTATAGCTCATTTTTTAACATTCAAATTTCATGTACCACTGGTACAAATTCTCTCCACACACCTCATTCATCAACCACTTAACAATTATCTTTACAAGAGGGTTAAGAAGAGGATTATTAAAAATGTATTAATATTAAAGGTATAAAAACAATTTTCTACTTGTAAATTCCAACAGTAAATATTAATTACTTACGATCTACAGCAATTTTTTCAGTTCCATCTAAAGGATTAATGATTGCTGGAACAAGCTCTCCAAAAGACAAATGATCTATTCTGTGAGAAAAGTTGTAAGCTAAAAGGTAAAAAATAAATAAAACTAATTAAGCAGAGAAATTACATTACTCAAAACTACGTGTTACAGCTTGGTTTACATTCTTAACTGTTCTCAAAAAATATCCAAAATCTGCAAGTATGATACTATAGTATTTAAAACCATATTGTTTTGAGAAAAATGCATATGAATATATGGGAATTAAATGCATAAGAGTAAGTAATTTCTGATAAAATACTATATCTCAAATTTTATAATTCCATACAAATTAACTTCTAAGAAATAATATTACATCCTGATAGCCAAAAACTACATCCTTCCTAGTCCAAATCACCTTATAGTAATAGGACTATGTGGTTACAACTAGAGTGATGCCCATGTAGCCAAATAGTGAAACTTTGATAAGATATATTTTTAATATATATTTTTGCTTAATGTGACAAAATTGATTTTTTAATGGGATCTATTATTTGTTTTGTTCTCTAAAGCAGACATTAAAAACTTAAGTCTTGTGATAATCATTATAATAAACTAACTTGAATACTTTATGTGTGTATATGTCCATATGTAAATTTATAAATTGAAATAAATTTCAAATACATTCTCTTCATCACCCACAAAAATTAGCAAAAATGTACACAAAGTTATATAAAGTACATCTAGGCTTTCCTCCCTAACCTCAGCAACTTCTGAGCTATGACCAAACAGAAATATAGGTAGCTTAAAGATAAGAGAAAATGGATTAGAGTCAATAAATGTAATAATTTATTTTATTATTTGGATAGATAGCTGTTTTTAAAACAGCTCACTTTCAAAACCCTATCTTGTACCTGCACTTTTAAAAAAATCACTTTTTTTTCAAGGACATCTTAACTGGAAAAAATTTTAGAAACTACTTACAGTCATGATTAACAAGTGCTGCCAAATGTGCATGACCTCGAGGATGTGGAATTGCCCTGAAAAGAGGAAAAAAAATTAAAGTAATAATATTTAAATATATAAGTAATTAAAAACAGAAAGTGGATCTTCCCTAAATTATATAATTTTTCTTAGCACAAAAAATATAAAACGTAGTTAGCCTATTATTAAGCAGAAAAGTCTACTCATCTCAGCAATGCAATAAACTGGGGGTTGGCAAACACTTTCTGTATAGAACCAGACAGTAAATATTTTGGGCTTTGTGGGCCAAGATGCAAAATCAGGGATATTATGTACTTAGTTATGTAATGAGAGAAAACAAATTTTCACAAATTTCTATTGACGAAATTCAAAATATAATAGTAATAATTGAGTACATTTTTTCTGTCACATAAGTGTTTTGCAGAAAGATTACATTCTGCTTAACTGGGATATAGAATTAGTGTTCCCTATTTTCAAAACTGATCACAAATGTTTATCTGTTAATGAGGATCTATAATAAAATTTTACATATTTTATCTTTTAAAATATTAATCCATGAGCATATGTTTGAGTGGAGCACATTCATTGCTTGGAAGGCAGTTATAAAACTCTGCTAGATTCTTCTCTTTGTATTTGCTATTAAGCATGTCACTACATTGCAGATCAGTAACTTCCAATTTAAGTTAAAGCAGAATTTCCTCAATTGCACAGTTAAATGGATTTTGAAACATGGAAATTTCCTTTGCACTTGCATCAACGTCTAAAAACACTTCTGGAACTACAGTTTGAGGTAGAAAAATATATCCAAGTATGAGAATGGAGATCTTGATTCTTGTTTTAACTTTTGACAACCTGTGTTGAAAAGCAAAGGAAACTACTCAAAATCACTTAACATTACTTGACAATGAAATAATTTTTCCACAATATAAATTCCATACATAAGCATTGCTATTGGCTTATAATTTTAGGTTAAATTTATTAGTTAACATTATTGAGTCTGCATAAAACTTAATTTTCAAAGCTATTCAGTGTTCAATAATAGTAGTGATGGTGATTTTCTCATTCAGGAAAAGTTTAATCTTGCCTCTGAGCTCAAAACAATTGCAATAAAACTTTCCCACTGCTAAGCCATCAAACTGCTGTGTAGTAGAGCAAGTGGGAATATTCAGCTTTTATTTCTGACAAAAATTCATGGAAATGACAATATAAGAGGAAATAAAGTTCATCACTGACACTGCTAGTTCTCAATACATGACAAATTCAAATATTTTCTGCAAAGTACTGCTGATGATACAAAGGATAACTATAGGCTTTAAATACCTTATATTTTCACAAGGTTTGAAAATACATCCAAGTAAGCCTTTTTCTGTTCCACACATATTTTTAACATCATCACACAGCTGTAACACATCTTAACAGATTCCACTTTAGGTTGTACTGAATTTGTGTTCTCAAATTCTTTAAAAATATTCTTGCCTACAGTTGTTCCATGTAAGCCATTCATAGACAATAATTCTTCCGTCACATCAAACTCAGCACTGATTCCTCAAACAAACACAATCCACTCAGGAAGAGCTTAAGAAAACCACTCAAAATCACCTGCCTTGCTTTTTATTGAGTGACTCTTGGATATAGCTCTCAATGTCCTTAGATGTTGGAGAACTTTTCCTGCTGAAGGCTAATTGTCTAAAGCAAATTTATTTTTCTGGATACATTTCTTTAGCTGTTGCCATAAAACAATTTCATCAAGTTATCAATACATGGCTTTCCTTATATGGCTAACCAATGAGGCACTTAGAAACTTGCTTTGCAGCCTCATTTTCACTTTTTATTTTTATTAAGAAATTCTACTGTGTTTATACATTCCATTTTAAATTTTCTAATTTTTTCCTGACCACTGCTTTTCTATGAGTAGGGAATATTGTGATGAGTGCTTAATATGGTAACATAAACACATATTGTAATTTTTTAGCACAATTATAGTGTCATTGCATAATAAGCACAATGTTTTGTGGCCAAATTTAATCAAATAATCCCCACTCCATGATGCTTTAAAAATACAATATTTGAAGTCCGCGTTTCTTTTTTTTTTTTGACAGAACAATAAATAAAATGTTGCACTACAGCAATATACATGGCACTTGTAATGCTGTCAAGTTATAACTGCATCACTGCAATTTGTAGTGCACCAAGCACCAGCACAAAGTGATGAGAGTCACATACAATTGCTGCCGAACTTACTCAACTCTGGTACTGTAGTGAGAAAGCAGCCATATGTCAACAAATGAGCATGGCTATGTTCTCATAAAACTTTAGTTTTGGTCACTATAATTTGAATTTCATATATTTTTTATGTGTTTTATTATTCCCCTTCTGATTTCTTTCCAAACAATTAAAAATATAAAAACCATTCCTAACTCATGGGCCATACAAAAATGAGTTGTGGGCTGGATTTGGTACATAGGCTGTAGTTTGCCAACCCCTGCAATAAACCTTTGTTCAGCTATATACTGCTATCTCTCAAATTTAACCTGTTCTTTTAATTCCCTTATAGTTTTCAGAATAAATACTATCCCACCCTGTTCTTCATTTAAAGAAAACAAAAACTGAAAATATGATCTTAAAGATTTCCTTAAATTATCCCTCATTCCTACTTACCCAGCTGACAATTTTAATAATTAACTAAAAAAAATTGAAAACAAAAACTCAATAAAACTTTATTTTATTTGTAACCAATTAAATGTCATTGTTGTTTTACAATATACCCTAGTAGGTCTAAACAACATTTGTTGTTCTGTATGGTACCTACCAGAACACACCCTGGCAATTAAGATAAAAGGCAATATAATGGTTAGGGAAATGTGTTAATATCCAACATAAAGTATACTAAAATCTTGTGCAATAAGGCATCTTCCTAGGCACTGGAATGATTGGTAGTTGGGTCTGATAAAGTCTCGTATGTTCACAGCAAAATATATTACTTCAAACACACTACTAAAAAGAAAATCTACACTCATAGGTTATTTCTATCCCAAGTTATACCATCACCTCAACAGTATTCCTACTACGGTTTTCGAACAAATTCAGGGAGAGGAATTTTCCTGAATAATCAAATGACTGTACTATATCTTACTTCAATGGTCTCTCTCACCACCCAGGATTTTATTCTGAGAGAAACAGGAAACTGTTTTAAATTATATTTCCTTCTTTCTCGTTTTTTTGTTAGAAGACATAACTTAAAACATTTATGGGCCGGCCCGGTGGCGCACTGGATAGTGCGCCGCTTGGGAAGTGCGGCGGCGCTCCCGCTGAGGGTTCGGATCCCACATACAGACCGGTTCCCGCTCACTGGCTGAGCGAGGCGCGGGGGCAACACCGAGGGTTGCGATCCCGTTGCCGGTCCCGGTCCGGTACGGGGGCGACACTGAGGGTTGCGATCAGTTGCCGGACACGGGAAAAAAAAAAAAAAAAAAAAAAAAAAAAAAATTATGAAATAACAACATAAGCAAGCATCTTCCTTCAAAAAATTAAGTTAAAAATGAAATAAAATCACCCTAGTCAAGATGACTGCAGTTCTCTGACACTTGTTAAAACTCTTGTAGGGAGGCCAGATATTCAGAATTTACCTATTTCTTTTCTGGCACGTTGTATGTTCCACCCCATAGACAGGAAACTAGCTTGACTAACTTTCAATGGAGGAAAAGCTGTTCCAAAAATTGGGGAAGGGTGGGAGAGGCATTTTGGTTTGTCACAATTATTGGGGAGGGGTTGCAATTGGCATTTAGTGAACAACAACCAGGGAAACAAGATCTCCTGCAATGAAACTGACAGTCTCACACACACAGAATTGTCCCACATCTTGCGTAGCATTCAAATGCTCTAAGAGATAGTCATGTACATGAAAAACCTATTCAGAGTCTAGAACTTAACTCCATTTAGCTATACAAAGTTCCTACTAATGTTTCAATATACACTAATTTTTTTTTAATATACACTAAATTTCCCAAGAAACTGAGGGAAGATTATTCTCTGTTTTGTTCACAGTATTACAATTCACTATTTCAGAGTATCGCCTCATCAACAGAAATCTTCTCATTGTATTTGAGTAGTCAAAACATCTGTTTCAGGGGCTGGCCCGGTGGCGCACTGCTACAGTGCACCGCTTGGGAGCGTGGTGGCGCTCCCGCCGAGGGTTCGGATCCCACATACAGACCGGTTCCCGCTCACTGGCTGAGCGAGGTGTGGGAGCAACACCGAGGGCTGCGATCCCGTTGCCGGTCCCGGTCCGGTACGGGTGCGACACTGAGGGTTGCGATCCGTTGCCGGACACGAAAAAAGACAAAAAGGAAAAAACAAAACAAAACAAAACAAAAAACATCTGTTTCAGTCTATATGTGCAGCTGTTATATAATGATTCTTCATATAAGTGATAAGCATCTGCCTCCATTATCACATTTTCTAGTGTATTCATGCTCAAGTATTTTGAAATATAAATAATGTTATAAATCATGTTCTTTTTATTACTCTTTTAGACTACAGTTGAGAATAGTGACATTGTGTTTGAGAGACAATATGAAATCTTCAAAAAAGATCAATATAGAGGATATACTTGAGATGATAACATACATTTCAAATGCTTTTCCATTTGGCCTCTCTTATTTATAGTATGAGTTACCACCTGGGGAGAGAAGTGAAATTGGAAAAATAAAAAAAAAAAAAAAAAAAAAAAAAAAGCCATAATACAGAGGCTCATACAACATGAGAATTTGTCAGTTTCCCTCTTTGAGTAAGGCTTGAACTAGGATATTGTTTGTATCCAAAGGTCCAATAAACACTTGTAATTTCTTTGAGCCAACTATTATTTGTTGCCTCCCTGATACCAAGAAATTCCAAGGATTCCAGCAATATGTTGGTGATGGGACAAATGGGTCCTGAGTAACAGTGGAAAAACAACAAAACATGAATTTTAAGGAGGGACAACAATGAAAAAAAAATATGTTTGGTCTGATCATTGCAAACACTGAAATATTTTTTCATAAAACTCTAATACTATTCCCTGTAGATAGGAAAAAAACCTCTAGCCATGCTGTTTCCTGCTATATGTCTTTCACTTCTTTTATACATTAAATCCCAATAGTGTTCAGAGATTTTCCTCAGTAAAGCCTCTGCTGACTTGCAGAGCAGGTCAAGTACTTTGTTATATAGTCTCATAACTTATATTTCTACTTTACAGCCTCAATAGAACTATAATTTAAAAATTATTAGTGTATTCCCTGTTTAAATTTGGGATTCTCTTCTAGAATGTCAGCACCATAAGAGCAAATGGCCTTTTTGTTTTTTTTTTCACTGTTTCATCCTTAGTAAAAAGCATAGTACTTTGGACATGGCAAGTACTCAAAAATATCTTGTACAGTGAAGAACTGTTCAGCCTAATGACTCTATAGAAAGGAGGGAAGGATCTACTTACTCATTCAGAAATTTACTAAGTGTTTCTTACACAACAATTTTTGTGCTAGGTGCTGCTCATGAAGGTAAGTGGTCTGATATTTTTCCCTAAATTTCACCTAATTTAACTTTACTCCAGATACTACTAATTTCTAACTATATCAAAATACTTGAGAATTAGGGGGCCGGCCCGGTGGCGCACTGCTACAGTGCGCCGCTTGGGAGTGCGGCAGCGCTCCCGCCGAGGGTTCGGATCCCACATACAGACTGGTTCCCGCTCACTGGCTGAGCGAGGTGCGGGTGCAGCACTGAGGGTTGCGATCCTGTTGCCGGTCCCGGTCCGGTACGGGCGCGACACTGAGGGTTGCGATCCATTGCCGGACACGAAAAAAGACAAAAAGGAAAAAAAAAAAAATACTTGAGAATTAGGAATTACATTTTGATGAGGACCACCAAAAGGTTATACAAAACAAAATCCTAATACCATACCAACGAAATGAACATATTAATGAAATGTCTAGATAAGAGCTCTCTGGCTGCTAAAACTCGGCAAGCACAAGTTTTCATTCATATTTACCTATAGTTTATTTACTTTAACACATAAAATATGAGATGACTACTTTACTTTTGAAGTAGTTTTTAAAGTTAGTAGTCTTCTTTATATTGAGATAAAAGGCTTGAGTATCAATCTCAAGACATTAAAAAAGATACACATTTTAAGCAGTTCTTTAGTAGTTAGGTATATATTACTTGATTAGCAAATAATTTACTTTTAACCAAGCTCTAAACCTGTCTAAAGTATTTTCAGTAAGTAAAAAGAACATACTTGCCCACAGTTATGTGAAAATTCCCTGCAACTTTATTGACATACAGATGACCATGAATTCGGCAAGCATCTGGAGACCGTGATACATCATCTTCCCTGTTAACACAAGATATGTTAAGATTACTTAAAGTACATTCAATATAGTTACCATTTTGTGGTGAGAACGCTATGTACAAGGGGAAAAAAAATCCCTAAAGATCAATTTTTAGGTAATGTTCTAAATGTTGAAAATTGAATAGCAGTTTTCTGAGGTCTATAAATTTATAAAAATCATATATCTACAAAATGGAAAAAAATTACATAATTATTACATATCTATAATATTTACATAAATCTAAAATTCCGTTGTTCTTCAAATCTAACCAGAGGACTACATCCAATGACAGAAGAAAGATTAAAACAAAAGAATTAGTCCAACAAGACATACTTTCTTCACCTATTTCTGGCATTGTAGGAGGGAGGGCAAGATAGGATAAGACTCAAGTATGGGAAATACATGACACCTAAGTTCAAATAGACAATGACATTTTATTCCTAAGCAAATATAAAATGTCTGTGTATTTTTAAATTTAAATTATCATTTTCATGACTGTAGCATTTCTAAATATCAGCTTTTCTAATCTATAAAAGAGAAAAAAGTGAAACAAAGAAACAAAATTCTAGCCAAAATTTACATATCCTCATAACAATAAATGCAACTAATTTGTCCTTAAAACCTAAAACTTTATATGGAGGTAAAACAAATAAAAGAGAAATTAATTAAATAAAAATAAAATAACATATTTGTGATAATCTTGATCAAATGATAGGCAATATGTCTAAGGGTAAAAGACATCTCCATAGTACAGAATGATTCCATTTTCTCTTTCTAAGAAAAAATAGATTCAGAAAACTAAATCAATATTAAAATTATTTCAAAGTTAATTCATTAATAAGTAGTTGCACATTTAAAAAATACATCTCACCTTGGTGGAAGTGCTGTTGACACACTTTTAAAAGCACTTTTAAATATAACATCTTGAAGTGAATGCTCTTCTTGCAACCTACTCTGAATTAGCTGCAGCATCCTAAATGCAACATAAACAAACAACAGTTTAAAAATACAGTAAGGTATACAAAGAAATCCACAATTATTAAAAAATAACAATGGGGGCCAGCCCCGTGGCGCACTCGGGAGAGTGTGACACTGGGAGTGCAGCGATGCTCCCGTCGCGGGTTCGGATCCTATATAGAACTGGCCAGTGCGCTCACTGGCTGAGCGCAGTGCGGACGACACCAAGCCAAGGGTTGCAATCCCCTTACCGGTCACGAAAAAGACAAAAAAAAAAAAATAACAATGATTAACTAACTTAACAAAGCCATACATTTATTATTATAAGATTTTATACTAAAAAAAAAAAAGTTTTCCTTGGTTATTTCATTGAAAGCAGGAAGAGTGAGGTAGGGTGACTGGAGTAGACCTGGGTTCCATAAACCTGATTCCAATAATGGACATGCAGTCAGAGTCACCAAGAAGGAGCTTCTGCTCACCTAAGTAAATGCATGCACAATTACAAAATTCTTACTTTTTGCCAGGCATTGATTTAAGCATTGTAGATACAAAGAATAAGACAAATAAGGGACCACTCAATAGACTTGATGGACTTGTAGTGGTAATTACTGAGGTATAAACATGTACCACAAACATATAATTCGCATTACAAACCAGGCCACAGTGCCATTTTAATATCACCTGGTCTCCCCGTTCCCAAAGAAAGCTAAACTTTATTCTATAACTAGACAATCTAAACAAAATGTTAGAATCTTCACATAATTTTTTAAAACAATATCAAGATATAAAGCAGATAGAGCAAAGTATACATTTGAAAAATAATGCTTCAGTTTTCTTTTTAAATATTCCTAGCACACAAAGAACAAATTAGTTGCATGAAGATTATTTTACAAAACTCTTATATTCACAATAACTTATAGAATTATTTATTCCAACAACAAAACTAAGAATAAAACTTTTCCTCTCTCCAACACTTCTACCACTGGCCCATGTTACCTCCTACTATTTTCAGCCACAACTTCGTATCATTAAATGTAGTCCTATTTTACCTCCTTTAATTCTATATCTTTAAATAACTAATATCCCAAGCCATCTGTAATAAACTTCAAACTCAGCAAGTATAAAAATTACACACAATGGGGAGGGAGGGACGCATAGGTAGAACACAGAGGATATTTAGGGCAGTGAAAGTATTCTATACGGTAGATACTTATAATGGTGGATACTTATCATTATACAATTGTCAAAACTCACAGAATATACACCACCAAGAGTGAACTGTAAACTTTGGACTTTAGGAGATGATGATGTGTCAGTGTAGGCTCACTGATTATAATAAGTGTTCCACTCTGGTTTGGGATGTTGACAATGAGGGAATCTGTGCATTTGTGGGGGATGGGTATATGAGAACTCTGTACTTTCTGCTCAGTTTTGGTGTAAACCTAAAACTGCTCTAAAAAAATTAAGTCTATTAAAAATATACATGCACACAAACATGCATAAAGCCTGGAAAAAATTATACATAAACATAGGTACTTGAAGCAAGAAAACAAATACAAATCTGATAATATTTCACATCCCACCATAATGATAAAATAAGTGTTTTCCAGAATCGCAAGTGGAGACAAAATATTTATGCACTGTCCATTTAGAACACTGGTAAAACAGGCCTATTTAAGATAATAAGTCATATTAAGACTATAAATTCAGTTTGGAATAAATCTTAAATATAGACATAAAAAGCAGAAACTAGAAAGGGTACATCCAGGGTTTGAATTTTACTACTAAAGAAAATTGGGATCCTAAATATTTTTAAAAAGTAGAACACCAACTGAGAGAAAATTTAAATCTCTTTAAATTCTAAAGGTAAAGAACATTTTGGTATGCACATTCAGGGAGATGTAAGAACTTTGGTATCTCTAGACTATTCAAAGATATTCAAGACCATTTGTTTAGAAAGAGAACATGATAATGTAGGAAGCTTCAAGAAGCCAGAACCCATTTTCAGATTTTTACATTTCAAGACTTAAAAGTTTCTTGGGATCCAATGTCAGCAGAAATCGAAAGCTTCACATTTTTTCCTGTCTTGTATTTCCATAGTTCAACTTTTGATGCTGGGCAGTAGTTAAAGAGTTTGATGGTACCAAACTGATTGTGTGTGTGTGTGTGTATGCGTGTGTGTGTGTACACGTATGTGTGAAAGAAACTTCTGCCTTGACTATACCAATAAATACCCAAGCCCATCCTCCATATATAAAGGTAGGTTTAAAAAAAAACTCTACTGTAATGGAAAAACCTCTGTCATTTTAAAAGTGAAAAGACAATCTCAGCTCCCACATATTATTAGTCTTTAACACTGAATAAAATACCAGATGAAAGAAAACATCTCACTTTGATATTTCTGGATCAAAGTAAAGTATTTCATCTCTGGATAGCTTTCTACTAAAAGTGCTAGAAACCCAGAGGTACCTAACATTCAGTGCATTTGTTTAACCATATCCAATTTCAACTTTCATATTAAAATTCCCCCACATGGTGAAAATGGAAATTAAAAAAGAAAGACTGTTGAAATGTATGTAGAAACTAGAAAAAAAGTGGGTAAAAAATTTTTTTCCTAATAATAATCTTAAATTAGGTAAAGCCTTTCTAAGTACAAGACAATGCCTGGAAACCGAAAAGAACAGAAAAAAATATCAATATATGAGGGTGGGGAAGTACTTTTAACAAAAGATTAATTTCTTTAATATACAAAATATTCTTAAAAGTTAAGGAAAAAAATAAAACAAGCAAGCAAAATGGGCATACAGCAAGACCAAGCAGTTTCACACATAAAAATACAAGGGAGGCCCCGCCCCCGTTCCCTGAACCAGCATCGCTCGGGTGGGCACGCCAATGCCAGCCAGCGGAACTGCGGCTCCACACGGCTCCCTCACCCGTCCGCCTTGGACTCAGGCAGGTGGGGAGTTCCAGGCCCCGCACCCTGAACCGGCACCGCACAGGTAAGCCCTCCAGTGCCAGCCAGCAGAACCGCGACTTCACGTGGCTCCCTCACCCAGCGGCCTTGGACCTGGGTGAGAGGGGGGGTAGGAGGGGGAGGTCTAGGCCCTGCCCACCGCGCCCTGAATGGCACCACGCCGGGAAGCCAACAGGAAGCAGCCAGCAGCAGCACCAGACAGCAGAACCGGGCAGCTACACATGGCCCCTGACCCTACTTCAGACCCCGGGGGGAGCACCAGCCTATGGTTCTGACTCACTGAGTTTGGCCCAGCAAAACTACACGCACTAGGGTCTCATTCTATGACTGAAGAATCTCAAACAGGAACCAAGGTGGTTTAACATAACCACCACCACACCTACTATCAAGCAAAAACAATTCACCCCCCACAGTAACCTCCACAGCCAACCTCAGTGTAACAGAAGAAGCAAACCCCCTACCAAATGACATGCATCAGTGAAAAAACACTAGAAGCACAAACAATCAAGAAGAATGACACCACCAAAAGGAGACAGTAATGCCCCAAAGTCAGTCTCCATGGAACAGAGAATCCTTGAAATGTCTGAAAAAGAATTTCGAGCAATGATCTTAAAAAAACTTGAAGAAATAAAGGAAGACTCAATTAGAGAACACAATGAAACAAGAAAAAGCGTCCAGAATATGAAGGAGGAAATCTACAAAGAGATTAATACCATAAAAAAGAGTGTAGCAGAACTTCTAGAAATGAAAAACTCAATGAAATAGAAAACACAACTGAGAGCTTGAGCAGCAGAAGAAAGAATTCCAGAGCTTGAAGATGGTCTTTTTGAAATAAGTCAGGCAGACAAAAAAGGGAAAAAAGAATTAAAAATAATGAGGAAAACCTACAAGAGCCAGCAGACAACCTCAAGCACTCTAACATCTGAACTGTGGGTATAAGGGCAGGAGAAAGGAAAAGGTATCAAAAACCTACTCAAGGAAATAGTACCAGGAAACATCCCAGGTGTAGGGCGAGATACAGACCTTCAGATCCAGGAAGCTCAAAGGTCCCCAAACAGATTCAACCCAAAAAGATCCTTGACAAGACATATTCTAGTTAAATTCGTAAAGCTCAAAGACAAAGAGAGAATTCTACAAGCAGCAAGAGAAAAGCATCAGGTCACTTATAGGGTAACCCCATCAAACTAACAGCAGACTTCTCAACCGAAACCCTACAGGCCAGAAGAAAGTGGAACGATATATTCAAAACACTAAAAGAAAAAAACTGCCAGCCAAGAATTCTTTACCCAGGAAAGTTCTCCTTCAGAAACAAGGGAGAAATAGTATATTTCCCAGATAAACAAAAGTTGTGGGAGTTCACCACCACACGACCAGCCCTGCAAGAAATTCTCAAGGGAGTCATTCATCTGGAATCTGAATAATGGTGACCATCATCATGAATACACAAGAAAGAGTAAAACCCACAGTTAAAACAAAAATGCCAGCAAGAAAGAGAAATAAGCTAAATCACTCCATCTTAATTTCCTAACTGACACTGAAGAAGAGAAATAAAAGGGGAAATAATGATCGACAGATATTTAAACCACCTAAACAAGTAGCAATTAAATGACAGGAATTAAACAACACTACTCAATAACTACTCAATGTGAATGGACTAAACTCCCCATTCAAAAGACACAGACTAACTAACTGGATTAAAAAGCTAGACCCAAGTATATGCTGTCTTCAAGAGATGCACCTCACCTGTAAAAACACTCACAGACCAAAAGTGAAGGGATGCAAAAAGATATACCATGTAAATAGAAACCCAAAACAAGCAGGAATAGCTACTCCCATATTGGACAAAATAGACATTAAACCAAAAAACATTTAAAGAGACAAAGAAGGCCATTATATAATTATAAAGGGAACTATCCAGCTAGAAGACATAACAATCATAAACATGTACGCACCCAATACCAGAGCACCCAGATATATTAAGCAAACACTCTTAGACCTAAAGAAGGAGATAGGACCTAATACGTTATTAGTGGGTGATCTGAACACCCCTCTCTCAGGACGGGACAGGACTTCCAGGCAACAAGTCAACAAAGAGACACAGGATTTAATATACACCCTAGACCAACAGGACTTGGCAGATATATACAGAACATTTCACCCAACAGCTAAACTTTTCTTCTCATCAGCTCATGGTACATTCTCCAGGATAGACCACATATTAGGTCACAAACCTACTTTCAGCACATTTTAAAAAACTGAAATAATTCCAACAATCTTTTCAGACTACAATGGCTAAACCTGGAGATAAACAATAAGCAAATCGCTGGAAGCTATACAAATACACGGAAAATAAATAATAGGCTCCTGAATGAACTATGGGTCAAAGAAGAAATTGAACAGGAAATCAAAAAATTTCTAGAAACTAACGAAGATAAAGATACATCATACCAAAACTTGTGGGATACTGTAAAAGCAGTACTAAGAGGCAAATTTATTGAAGTAAATGCTTATATCAAAAAAATGGAAGGACTCCAAATAAACAACCTAATGCTACACCTCAAAGAACTTGAAAAACAACAACAATCCAAACCTAAAGGCAGTAGACAGAAAGAAATAATTAAGATCAGAGCAGAACTAAATGAAATAAAGACCCAAAAAACCATAGAAAAGATCAACAAAACTAAAAGTTGGTTTTTCAAGATAAACAAAATAGACACACCATTAGCTAGATTAACAAAAAAAAAGGAGAGAGGACTCAAATAACAAAAATCAAAAATGAAAGGGGAACATTACAACTGACACCACAGAAATACAAAGAATCATTAGAGACGATTATGAACAACTGTATGACAACAAATTTGAAAATCTGGAAGATATGGATACATTTTTAGATACATATAAATTACCAAGACTGAACCAAGAAGACATAGAAAACCTGAACAGATCAATAACAAGCAAGGAGATTGAAGCGGTAATTAGCAATCTTCCAACAAAAAAAAAGTCCAGATGGCTTTACAGCTGAATTCTATCAAACTTTTAAGAGGAGTTAATACCAATTCCCATGAAACTGTTCCAAACAATTGAAACAGATGCTACTATCCCAAACTCATTCTGTGAGGCTAACATAACTCTGATACCAAAACCAGATAATGACACAACAATAAAGAAAATTACAGGCCAATATCCTTGATGAACCTAGATGCTAAAATCCTCAACAAAATATTAGCAATTAGAATACAGAAACATATTAAGAAAATTATACACTATGATCAAGTGGGATTCATCCCAGGTATGCAAGGATGGTTCAACATATGAAAGTCAATAAATGTGATACATCACATCAACAAGCTCAAGGACAAAGACCTTATGATAATCTCAATAGATGCTGAAAAATCATTTGACAAAATTCAACATTACTTCATGATAAAGACTCTCAACAAATTAGGTATAGAAGGAAAATACCTTAACACAATAAAAGCCATTTATGACAAGCCCACCACCAGTATTATTCTGAATGGGGAAAAATTGAAGGCCTTCCCCTTAAGGACAGGAACAAGACAAGGATGTCTACTCTCACAACTTTTATTCAACATAGTACTAGCTAGAGCAATAAGGCAAGAGAAAGAAATAAAGGTAATCCAGATTGGAAAAGATGAAGTCAAACTTCCCCTGTTTGCAGATGACATGATACTATATATAGAAAAACCTAAAGACTCTATCAAAAAACTCCTACAGCTGGTTAATAACTTCAGTAACATTGCAGGATACAAAATAAATGCCCCCAAATTAGTAGCATTTATATACTCAAATAATGAATTAACAAAGAGAAATAAAGAAAGTAAGCCCATTTACAATTGTCACCAAAAAAATACAAATACCTAGGGATCAATTTAACCAAAGAGGTGAAAGACCTCTACGATGAGAATTACAAACCACTTCTGGAAGAAATTAAAGAAGACACAAAAAGATGGAAAGATATTCCATGCTCTTGGATTGGAAGAATTAACATTGTGAAAATGTCTATCCTACCCAAAGCGATAAACAGATTCAATGCAATCCCCATCAAAATACCAATGACATGCTTCACAGAAATGGAAAAAACAATCTTACCTTTCATAGGGAAAAACAAAAGACCCAAAATAGCCAAAGCAATCCTGAGAAAACAAAAAGCCAGAGGCATAACTCTCCCTGACTTCAAATTATACCACAAAGCTGTTGTAACCAAAACAGCATGGTACTGGTATAAAAACAGACATTCAGACCAGTGGAGTAGAATTGATAATCCAGAAATCACTTCTCAGGCTTATAGCCATCTGATATTAGACAAAGGCAACAGAAATCTACATTGTCGAAAAGATTGCCTCTTCAACAAGTGGTGCTGGGAAAACTGGATATCCATATGCAGAAGAATGAAACTAGATATGTACCTCTCACCATACACTAAAATCAACTCAAAACAGATTAAAGACATAGGTATAAGACCTGACACTGTAAAATTACTAAGGGAAAATATAGGTGAAGCACTTCAGCAGTTAGGTCTGGGCATAGGCTTTCTGAACATGAGCCCGAAAGCATAAGCAGCAAAAGAAAAAATAAACAAATGGGACTATAACAAACTAAAAAGTTTCTGCACAGCAAAAGAAACAATCAACAGAGTGAAAAGACAACCTACAGAGTGGGAGAAAACTTTTGCCAACTATGCATCTGACAAGGGACTAATATCCAGAATATACATAGAATTCAAGCAATTATACAGTAAAAAAAAAAAAAAAATGGCCCAATTAAAAAATGGGCAAAGGAGATGAATAGACATTTTTAAAGGGAAGACATACAAATGGCCAACAGATACATGAAAAAATGCTCAACATCACTAGTCATCAGGGAAATGCAAATTAAATCCACACTGAGATACCACCTCACTCCAGTTAGACTGGCCATAATCAAAAAGATGGTGAATAACAAATGCTAGCAAGGGTGTGGAGAGAAGGGATCACTACTGAACTGTTGGTGGGAATGTAAATTAGTACATACACTTTGGAAAACAATTTGGAGGTTTCTCAAACAACTACAGATAGATCTTCCATATGATCCAGCAATCCCTTTTCTGGGTATATACCCAGAGGAATGGAAATCATCATGTCGAAGAGATACCTGCACTCCCATGTTTATTGCACCTCTGTTTACAATAGCCAAGATATGGAACCAACCTAAATGTCTGCCCATCAATAGATGACTGGATAAGGAAACTGTGGTATATATACTGTGGAATACTACTCTGCCATAAAAAAGAATGAAATACTCCCATTTGCAACAATATGGATGAACCTGGAGAAACTTAGGTTGAGTGAAACAAGCAAAGAACAGAGGGATAAATACCACATGTGCTCACTCATATGTGGGAGCTAAGAGAGAAAGGAAGGCAGGACAGAAAGACCACAGTAGTGCCGTGATCCAACAGAGGGAGGGGACATTCCTAGTGCTACAAATTGGAGTTGAGGAGAGAGGAGAAAGGGAGGGAGGTTGGGGGATAATTGGGAGGGGACAAAGGGTATAAAAGTAATTTCTGGTAATGGATATGCCCCCAGTATGAATCTGGCCCCCACATCATGGGCAGGAAGGGGGACAATCAGCTTTGTATCTCATGAATATTCATAGTAAATAAATAAATAAATAAAAAGTACAAGGAAAAAAACCCCCCACAAAGATATTCAAATGATTCGTAAAGAAATGCTAATTAAAACAAGTGCCATACTAATTTTCACCCATCAAACTAGCAAAAAAATTTTTTAAAAAGTCTGGGTATTTAAGCTGTTGACAAAGTTGTACAGAAACAATCTCATACAGTTTTGCAGTGTAAGTGAAATAGTATTTTAGGAGGCATTATCTATCCAAACGTTAAATTAAATATCCTCTGAAAGAGGAATTCCATTTCTGAAAATATTCCATATATATATAAAATATATAATACACGTGTAATATATACCTATGTGATATATATATACAAAAGTATATAAAGAATTAGGTTCAAGGATGTTCATTAGTAGTGTTTTTAATATTAAAATTCTGGAAGCAATCAAAATGCCCATTGATAAAGATCCAATTAAATAAAGTTTAGTCTATCCATAAAATGTACTACTAAATACAATTGACCCTTGAATAGCACAGGGGTTAGGGGTGCCGACCTCCACACAGCTGAATACCCATGTGTATAAAAAGTTGGCCCTTCATATATACAGGATCCACATCCCACATATACTGTATTTTCAATCTGCAGTTGAAAAAAATCTGAGTATAAGTAGACCCATGTAGTTCAAATCTGTGTTGTTCAAAGGTTTGCTGTACACTGACATGTGAAGATATTCAAAATATCATACGAAGTGGAAAACAGGAAGTTATAGGACAAATATATAAAATGATCCCATTTATATTAGGGAAAAAATATATAAGTATACATGAAAACATACAAAAAACTTAACTGGTCAGTGGCGCTAGTTTACAGAATGCGGAGGGGATTTTTCTTTTTCCTTTATATCCTTTCTGTTCAAATTCAATTTTAAACAATGATCATATATTATTTTTATAATTATTTTTAAGTTAATAAAATTTTAAATAAAAACTAAAATTTATTTATGATTCAAAGTATACTAGAGAAAAGATTATGTGTGACTTTCATAAGACCTGACAAAGTTTTTCAAATTATAAGGATTATATTATATACTAAATTCGGCTAATAATTCATCCAAAGAAATCCCTAGAGAAACATTGGACTATGTTAGTCCAATAGTTTACAATAGACAAAATAGATAAAAAGTGGCCTAGCTTTCTATGGACCACAGTATGTTGTTCACTTATTACCTCTGCCACTCTTTTTGTTGTGGTGAAAGATCAAATATTGCCTGAAATCAAAGAAAACATAATCAATAGCATTGTCAACTTGGCTTTACATCACAATTTTTAAAAATTTTCTTTGAGCAAGAAATATAAATTTATACAGCTGCTAAAAACAAATATTTATGATTTACATTTAATCTATACCTCAAACTATGAAATTTTAATATGATATTTTTATTCAAAAATAACAAAGAAGTTTTACTAATCACATATATTTTTCTGTTATTAGTTATCTATATGATAGGAATGGATGTTGTTGTATGGAGAGGAATGTAAAGTTGTCAATTTACAATATGTACAATATGGTATTTTAGGACTTAAAATCACTTAAATAATGCTAGCATAAAACTCAACAATTATTGAAAAAAAAAGACATACAGTTTTAAGTATAATATTCAAGCATCCAAAGCCCATATACCTGCTGGGAAAATACCATGATAAAAATCATCAATTTTTGAAATAAGTTAAAAAATACCACAGTAATTCCCAAATGTATAAATCAGCAAAGAACTCAAGAAATTTTATCTATACACCATCCTTATCAATTCAAAGTCACACTTGGCTATGTGTAAAATCAGAGAGAAACACGCAAGCTTCTCTTGGTTTTGTGGCAGTAGCCACAACTTAAATTTGCAACAAAATGTACACTTTTGATTTTTATAAAGCCATCTCATAGCAAAACATATTAACTCTACTTCAAAAATTATAAACATTAGTAACTACTGCTTCACAATCAGGCCCTAACCTACTTCTTTCCACCCTACAAATCTTTTCTTTCTAATCAAAGTGAAGTATACTTCATACTACCAAAGAGTTCTACTTCTGCAACTTTGGTAATTAAATTATATCAATCTGGAACCTTCCTCACCTGTAACTATGAACTTCATGTCTATCTAAATTTTATACAACCATATGCTCCAAATTAAACTACCCCATCTTTCTGATGTTTGCTTTTGATTACTCCTCCTGATGAACTTATCTGTAGCATGCTTACATGATATCTGAAATTCCATAGTATCTGAAATTGTAACCTCATAAAAAAAATCACTATAAAATAAACTTTTTGACTGGAGAAACAGGTCATTAAATAGAGGTTCAGAGTGGCAGTTACCACTTCTGGAGAAATTTCTATTAAAAAAATTTATATCAAAAGGCACATATATCTTTTAGGTTGTTTTTGGTTTTGGCAGCTGGCCAATAAGGGGATCAGAATGCTTGACCGTGCTGTTATAACACTGCACTCTAACTAACTGAGCTAAGCAGCCGGCTCTATTTTGTTGCTGTAAACTAAAAATAATTCAGTAATCAAAACTGGCCAAGGGCTTACTTTTTTTCCTTAAAGCCCACATATTCAGTTATTTCTACTCCTCCTCCATCCCTTTAGTCTTCATTTTGCAATTGTCCTTAAAGAAGAGTTCACAACTGCCAATTATAAACAAAAAAACTCAAGAATGCATGTGTAAACCTAAGTACCACAATGCCAACAGAGCAGTGAGCAACTCAGAGTAGCTAGGAGTTCCATGCTTATTCTCAAAACCTTCTTTAGGGCTAGTTTTGATCATGACTGATTATCACCGTACCTGCCTCTGTAATGTGATGGTGTTTTTTGATAAATCAGTTATGTTATACACAGCTGATGCTTGAAGATATTAGAGGAATATCAGCATTTCACAAGCTTTGGGAGAAGTACAAAGGAGGGAGAAATAGTAAATGTCTATGAAATTTCTCCTCTTAAGAAGATACTGCTTTATTCCTTATTATAAAAGAAAATAGCTCAAATATTTTTAAAGACTTAAATTTGGTAAAATAGAATACAAATAGAACATGAGTTTCCATATCATTAGAAAAAAAACAAGAAAATTTCATCACTATAGTAACTATAAGAAAAGAGAAATGGAAACCATTAGAAAGCATTAACAAAAAATATAAAATATGAGTAAGTTTATAAAACAGACTTTAGAGGCTTATCCAAAATGTTAACCATGGCTATCTCAAGACTTTGGTATTAGATATCACTTTTTCCCCCTAAATTTTTTTTACAAAGAATACGGATGACTTTTGAAATAACAAAAAATTTCTATTAAAAACTAGCTCAGGCCAAACTAAAAGAAATATCAAAACTGCCTTTAAGGGTTCAATTTCTTAAAGCGTATACTTCAAAACCATGTGAATGAAACTTACTGGTTCATAAACTAGACCGTCTGCAGATGCAACCATTGTTTCTGCTAAATCCAATACATCTGCTCCAACATCTGCATAAAAAGAAATTAGAAGTTTTACATTCCATGCTCAAAGCCAAACTATATCTGATATAAACAAATTAAGACAAGTAACAAAAACTCACAAAGTATGTAGAATCACTTTCCTATACTGCTTATTTGTTCAAAAGTTAAGATAATTGCATTACATAGCTTCAGTGGAGATTAAATTAATTTCCAAAATTTAATAAATTCTTGAACTGCTTCTTGCTCAGTAAAAAAGATGACTCTGAATCCCATGGTAAAAAGCATAAACTTTACTTAATTGAAGAGCTTTGCAAAAGTTGGCAAGAACCTAAACATAAGTACTAAATGGCTGAACAAAATATTAATTACAAGAATTATTTTTAGAGATTAAAAGAAATCTTAAGGCAAAGCTACTGATGCATTTTTAAAAATCAAAAATAGGAAATTTTATTCTGAAAAGCTAAAATTTTAATGGTATTCAGACATTCAAAATAAGGCAAAATATGATATAAGCAGTATTAACACCAACTTGAAGTTTATATATAAAGTATTTCTTTATTTATTAAAACCACTAACAGAAGTAAAAATAAACAGAATAGGGAAAAATATTCCAGGTTTTTCTGAGATGAAATCTACCAGAAACTAATGTCCTTAATTGGGTAGAATAATTTCACACTTTAAAAAGTTTTGTCTGAAATAATGAGTTCTTGGTCTCTGCTTTTCAAGCAGTCAAAAGATATTTCTCATGTAAAAGTATCCTCATTTTTGAGAGAAATACTAATTCAAACATTATCTATTTGGCATATTAAGGTTTTTCTAATTCTACCAGTACAATCAAGTGAAGCCAGTAAAGAAAACAAAAAAGGATAACTTATCACTCACTATAAGTTAAAAGAATTGGATCTGTATTTTAAAATGTAATTGTAAAAGCAAAGGGCAGTAAACTGAAACAGTGAATGTTTGTGGAACAGGGTTGTAAAAACTCATATGCTAAACAAGAAAGAAAAAAATATACCAAAACTAAAACTCTGATACATAAAAATTTCCTCTAATTTTCTTTTTTTTTAAAAATTATACTAATGGGAAATTTAAGTCTCTTCTTTTTATGCAGAAGAAATTTGAAGAATACAAGCTGAGGGCCGGCCCGGTGGCGCACTGCTACAGTGCGCCGCTTGGGAAGCGTGGCGGCGCTCCCGCCGAGGGTTCGGATCCCACATACAGACCGGTTCCCGCTCACTGGCTGAGCGAGGGGCGGGCACAGCACCGAGGGTTGCGATCCCGTTGCCGGTCCCGGTCCGGTACAGGCGCGACACTGAGGGTTGCGATCCGTTGCCGGACACCAAAAAGGAAAAAAAAAAAAAAAAGAATACAAGCTAAAAGGTAAAACAATTTACGTTATTAAATAACACCACAGTAAAATTTAAAAATATTATAAAAGAAAGATAAAATACAACCAGTGGTTTTTACTTTTTATTGGCAATTGTTTGAACAATAAACTACACAGAGTCATCAAGTTGAAGGTGTACTTACACTGACACTTCATGGCAACAGTAATATCTATATTGATTCTCAATTTGCTAAAAAGACAAAAGGTAAACATTAGTACTTATCAATTAATAAAAAAATGAGAAATAGAAATCAATTGATCTATGAAAAACTTGCATTTCAAGGAGAATAAAATATGACAATTAGAACTTCGACTGGATTTCCAAAACAAGGGCATTTTAAAAGTAAAAGTTCTTTTTTGTAATTATTCCAAAGCCTTTGTGATTTCACAGGTTTTTAACACAGTATCCTTTAATTTAATAATGGCAATTCTACAATCAATAACTTCAAGCAACTCAGAAAAAAGTCTTAATCTCTATTTACATAAACTTTAGACAGAATATTCCTTTAGGAATGTAAAACTTTGAAAATCAAGAATTAGGAATTATACATCTTACTCCTCTGTTTATCAAGCAAATACCCTACATTAGTCATTATGCTAGATGCCCTACAAATATTAACTTCTTTATTCTATATCATGGAGCTATAAAATGGAAGACTTCACAGTTTTTCAAGTAAACCACTAGGGTTCAGACCAGTGTAAATAAATGCCTGGCTTAAGATCATATAACCCCATTTGTTTATTTTTTCTTTTGTTGCCTGTGCTTTTGGGGTCATATTCATAAAATCTTTGCCCAGTCCTACATTCTGAAGTGTTTCCACTATGTTTTCTTTTAGGAGTTTTATAGTGTCTGGTCTCATATTTAAGTCTTTAATCCATTCAGAGTTGATTTGGCTATATGTTGAGAGGTATGGGTCTAGTTTCACTTTTCTACAGAAGACTTCCAGTGTTCCCAGCACCATTCATTGAAGAGGCAGTCTTTTCCCCAATGTGTGTTCTTGTTGCCTTTGTCAAAGATCAGTTGGCTGTAAGTATGTGGGTTGATTTCTAGGTTCTCTATTCTGTCCCATTGGTCTGAGTGTCTGTTTTTATGCCAGTACCATGCTGTTTTGGTTACTATAGCTTTGCAATATAGTTTGAAGTCAGGGAAAAGCCTCTGCACAGCAAAAGAAACAATTAACAGGTGAAAAGAAAACCTCCAGAATGGGAGAAAATACTTGCAAACCATGCATCCAACAAAGTATTAATATCTAGAATATACAAGAACTCAGACAATTCAACCAACAGTAAGAACACAAGTAACCCAATTAAAAAATGAGCAAAGGAGCTAACAGACATTTCTCATATGAAGATATACAAATGGCCAACAGACACATGAAAAAATGCTCAACATCACTCAGCATCACGGAAACGCAAATCAAAACCACACTGAGATATCATCTCAGTCCAGTTAAGCTGGCTGTTATAAAAAAGACAGAATAACAAACACTGGTGAGGATGTGAAGAAGGGGAACCCTTCTACACTGTTGGTGGGACTGTACATTACTGCAGCCATTATGGAAAACTGCACAGAGGTTCCTCAAACAAATACAACTGCCATATGACCCAGCAATCCCACTACTCAGTATATACCCAAAGGAATGGAAATCAGCATGTCTAAGGAATACCTGCGCTCCCATGTTTATTGCAGCTCTACTTACAATAGCCAAGAATTGCAATCAACCTAAATGTCCATTGACAGATGACTGGTTAGGGATAATGTGGTATATATAGTCAATGGAATACTATTCTGCCATAAAAAAGAATGAAATTCTGCCTTTCACAGCAACATGGATAAACTTACAGAAAATTATGTCAAGTGAAATAAGCCAGGCACAGAAAGAGATATACCACATGTCCTCCCTCATAAGTGGGAGCTAAAATTAAAAAAAAGAAACAAACAAACAAATATAATAATACATTAAACTTTCAGAAAAAGACAGAAAAGAACCATGGTTATTAGAGGTGGGAAAGGGGGAAACAGAAGAGGGTTGGCGAGAAACTAGTTAAGGGTCACAAACATTGATTACATTTTGTAAACATGAGTATATTAGTTATCCTGATTTGATGACCACATATTTTACACATGTATTGATATTTGATGCTGTAAACATATATAATCAATTATCTTTCAATAAGAAAACTGTCAAAAAAAAAAAAAAGATCACATAACCATTCAAGTTGGCGTATTGGAAACTAGGTCTGTGTTACTCAGGATAAATGCAACCAACCTACCAGAAAAAAATCACCTGATGGCTCAAGTTTTGTATCACCTTTTAAAAATGCTCTACCAATGCTTTATTTTGAAATGATTAGTTCAAATCAAATTTTCAAATACCACAAGTAATTAAGAATTGTGAATAAAAGAATAGGTACAATCAAATTCAGTCCTGTGCTTTCTATAAAAACTTTTCTAACTGTAATAATTTTCAGCTGATTTCAATAGGAATTACAAATTTTTAGAGCTTCACAGTCTTAAAGTTGTCTAGAGTTCACACTGTGTTCCAAATAACCCTGAGGTTTAGGCTTATGAGATGCTGTAGGAACCAGAGGAGGAGGCCAAGCAGACAATCTTCTGGGCATCCCCACCATGCTTATGTGATGAACTATGTAAGACTTCATTTGCAAAAAATAGAAAGTGTTTCATTGGTAGTAAAAACAAATAAAAAAGAACAACAAATTCCTTGAAAACTAATGGTATCTAAAATAATACTCAAATTACAGATGAAGAAACTGGGGCTCAAAAGAAATCAGCTGTGTGACTTGCCCAGGGTTACACAGCAATTTACAAATGTTGACTTATTTAATTCTCATAAACTCCATGAGGAAGATACTATAATTATTATACCTATTTTACAGAAAAGGAAACTAAAGCACACACAGATTTGGTAAATTCCCTAAAGTCATGTAGCTAGTAAATGGCAGAGCCAGGATTGGAAAGGAGAATTAAATGTGTCTCCTTATTTAATGCAGTCTTAACCTATTATCTTCAATCCATTAAAAAGTCCAAATAATGAAATGAATAAATGTAAAATATATTTTGTCATCTAATCAAGGTACTATATTTTCAAAGGTTTAAAAGTGATATATTTACATAAAAATTTAGGTTAGATATAATTTATAGAAATCAAGTTATAAGTATATAAAATGTATCTTTAGACAATTTATTTTCTATCACACACAGAACACTAAGATATTTCAAAGTCTAAGGAGTAAACAGTTTCAAACATTAAACAATTTCTACCATTATCCACATCTAAGGAAATTCATGTTCTCCTTACCTTTTAAACAAGTGCATATTAACTCAGAGAACCTTAGTTCTATAATTTAACCAGTATTTAAATGATTCTAAAATGTTTTATCTAATGCATGCAATTAGTGAGAATTTCTCAGGACTATTTCTCCAGAATTAAATAAACCAAACATAAAAGGTTAGGTTTTTTGTTTTTTTTTTTAAAGGCATGCTATTTTAAAAACAATTTGAATCTAAAGGTATTTTAAGAAATAAAACATAGTTACCTAGAAAAATCTTTGTCTACTTCATATTCATATTTCATCCATGTATCTTGATATACTGAGAATTCCATTATGGTTAATAAAGCCATAGTAGTAAATGCTATAAGAGAAACTGAGAAATCCAACAACAACGACAACAACAAACAATTAAAATAATAAGAAAAGGTAAACAACAGGAAACTATTAAAATTAGCAAAAAAAAAAAAAAAAAAAAGTCTAATATGATTGCCAATTGAATGAATACCATAAAAGGTTTTTCCTCAAAATGTTCATTATATATTTTTTTCTAAAACAGCTAAAAAAATGAAGAGTTATGAGCACAAATATGAACACAAACATTTGCACTATTCAGAAAGCATTTTATTTCTTCAATTTTAAGGGCATCTCTCACTAAATAGATTTGCCAAAATTTTACAAGACACAAAATTTTTACTTTGTTATAGCCGTGGCACAGATATGATAAAGGATGAAAGTAGGTATGCTTTACAGTAGTACAAATTTTAAAATATTCTCATTATTAAAAATGCATCCATAGCTATAGCCCAATTTAAAACAAGTAAAAAGTAGCCTGATTTCTCAGATCCTGAGAAGACACAATAATCTGTGTGCCAGAAAATCAAATAATATCTCCCAAGTCTCTAATCAAACTCTGTTCTGTTTTGCAATCTCATAAAAAAATCACTTTGTTTACAAAATCAAGTAAAAGATATGACAGAAAGGAAAGAGCTATCATATATTACGGCAAAACACACTGAAAATGGGTCGTATAACAGGAACTTGCGTTATTTTCATTAACAGAACTTATTAACAAGCAATTACAAACAGTAAACAACTTATTACACATTTTATGAAATAAAATGTCAATCCTATGTGTGAAGTGCTATTTAATTAGCTCTTCATGGGGAAATAAATAATAGTAAATATTGTTGTAATCATTTATTTTTCTTATATATTTCATTATTTATTTATTTTATTTAACAAATACTTTTACCTGTACCAGGCACTGCTCTAAGCATTTTATAAATATTAATTTATTTAACTGATACAGTAACCCTGGAAAGTAAATATTAATATTATCCCTATTTCATGAAAGAAGAAACTAAGGCACAGACAGATCTGAGTAACTTCCTCAAGGTCATATAGTTATAAAGGGGCAGAGGTGGGATTAGAATCCAGACAGTCTGGTTCCAAAGTTTAAGCCCTTAACCATTACCCCATGCTGTCTCTCGACAGTAATGTGAAATTTTAAGAATATTTTATAATGCCTATACTCACTTACTCTTAACCAAAATAGGAATGAGGCAGTTTCAAGATCATTAAATAACTTCCTCCAACTTCAATTCCATTTATACATAAAAATCTTTTTAATGTAATTATACGTAACTGAAGAGCACCAAAGCAGCAGAATTGGGATTAATTTGTTCACTGACGTTTTCATAAATTCTGCTAAATGCCCAGGTGGCACTGGGTTGGAAGCTATAGAGAATATAAAGAAGAATAAAATTAGAGCAAACAGTGTGACATGAAGACAGACAGATCAATTACAAAATTACTGCACAATTCATTGATGAGTTCTTCCTCGTGGCTACATTTCTTTGTGTTGTTGATTTAGATTACTCAGAAATTGCAGTTAGTGAAGAAGTTTTAATTTGAATTGATAGTCACCTGTACCCCCACTGGCTGAAGTCTCCACATAGCTGTCAGGAACCTTTGGAAAGGCATCCAACTCCTTCACCAAATTTAAAGTTTTTTTCCGATTCAGCCGCCTCATCTTCAGGAAAACCTTCCTCTTCCTTCATATAGTCATGCTAAGGAATAAATAAATCAATGAATAAATGAATCCTCTAAAGAGATAAAAGATTTATTTTAGGATAACTGACAAATATCCTTAGAACAACTTAGCACTCTCATCCCTCCTTGAGATAAAAAACATCAATATTTATCCACGGCACTACCTTTTCCCTACTTCCACCCTGACAAATACTACTTAAGAAAGGTAATTTACACATGCAAACTCATTAAATAGCCAAAAAAATTAGAAAATAAAAAGTAAAAAGTAATTCAATCACATTCATTTCATAATATTTAAATATACAAATTAGAATAAGAAACACTTGTTTCTCCACAAATACATAAAAATAATACATTCCCAGTAATGGATGACAATGAAGTAATGACTGCTTACTATCCCTTTTTGATCAGTATGCCAACTATATCTAAAATATGTTTATAAAGCCAAACAAATGATAGCTCAATTCTCAGATATTTATATAATTTTATAAGACTGATTAATAAATAATACAGTAAGTGATACTATAAAGAATTCCCAGAAATCAAAGTTGTGTTAATAAAATCAACACATAATAGCAGAATAAATCAGATGGTTACAGAAGTCACTACAAGAAAAAGAAAGCAGACAGATCTTGGCAATAATACCTAATGGGTAGGATTAATATGGAAAAAATATGCCACAGAAAGGTCATTCATGGAGAAAAAGAAGAGTCAGAGAAATAAAAACTGGCAGTAATCCTAAACACTGTCTAAAAAAGAAAGGCCCTGACCAAGATACTACTAATCAGTTCACGAGGGAGCTACTGCCCTAAAGTGAAGTTAAAAGCATTAATAGACTGATTTCATTTGCCATTAAAAACATCTAACTAACTTCCCTTGCTGATTCCATGCTCAGAAAGTGGCCTTCAGTACATGGTTTTCCAAATAAAATAGATGATGTAGACAAAACAGATGACAGTTTCAGACCTCCATGTCAATTATAAAACTGTTATTCTCATTTGTAAATTAAGCTTGTGAGTGTCTATTAGGCATAAGCCATGCTCTCCGAAGTTTGTTCAGCTCTGAGAACATAACCAAATTTATTTTCTGTACCTGTTTAGTGGTAACTGCACCAAAATTAACCCTTCTTCAATTCTGATTAGTTAAATATTAAATATACTCATAACTCTTATCTTTAAAACAAAACAAACTTTTCCTTAAACTCAAGTCCAACTCAACTATAGATCTCTAGCGAAACTTATAGCCTAACTTAAAAGAATGAGTTGCCCCATTCATCCATTGTGACTACTTCCTCACTCCAATCTAACCTCTTAACCATACTTGTTCTCAGCGAGGTCATTAACAACTTTCTTAGCATTAAATCCAATGGACACTTCTTAGTCCTTATCTAATTTCACCTGAGAAAATACATTGTTTATCACTTATTTTTTCTTCTTGAAACAGTCCCTTACCTATAGTATAGTGATACTATACTCCTGATTTTCATGATAGCTCTAATATCCTCTTTGGCTTACTTTCCAGATTCATCTTCCTTTCAGATCCTGCCCTAAGTCCTCCTCCCAATCTCTACAGTGATCTCCCATTCCTTCAATTTTCATCTAGACTTTGACTCCTCCAAAATCTTTATTTCCAGCCCAAATCTTTCTTCAGACATATGTCTCCTTGCCTTTTTATTACGTTTTCGTTTGAACATTCTGAAGACAATTCAGACTCAACAAGTCCAAAAATGAATACTTCACCTGATCAAAACCGTTCCTTCTCCTGTATCCTCTATCTTAGTTAATGATAACAACATGCACCCAACTGCATAAACCAGAAACATGGGTTACATCCTTAGACTTATGTTCTTCCTTAAATTTCTCTCAAATCTATCTGTCCTCTCTTCTTCAAGTTCACTGAGGAGTTCCTTAAAAAGGTAAAGATGATTGAGAAATATGATAAAATATGACAGGCCCTCGTCCCAACTACTAAACCTATCACTGCATTGTTTCAACAACCTCTAATCTTCAACCCTTCAACTCATTCTCCATACTACAACAAATTATTTTTTTCATATATAAATCTCATCATATAACATTTCTTTTTAAAATCTTTGAATAAATTTCCATTGCACTTAGAGTCTGGACTCGTATCCTAATAAAGGCCTTCAAAAACCAGTTCCTACCTACCTCTCTTCAAACCCAGTCCCTGGCAGTCTAAGTTACAGCCACATTAAATCACTTTCAATTCCTTAAATATGCCATTCTCCCTGCCAAAACTATACTTTCTCCCCCCACCCTCCAACTCCTACTCACTCATTAAGGCCCAGTTTACTTATCTCTCCAAGTAAGGGGAAAAAACCTTCCATGACCCCTCCAAATCTATGTGCTCATAGAACACCAAACCTTTATCACACTATTTCTAATTGCTTGTTTCATTTTCTGTTTTCTCCACTGGATTGTTTGGGCAGGAACCACCTCTAACTTGACCTTTGTGTCTCCGATGCCTGGCAGAACAAGCATTCAGTAAATATTTATTAAGGAATGGAAAGTAGTAAAGAAATTTCCATAGTAGCACAGCTTTCAAATCACAATAAAGTATATATTTACTTACTTAGGTATATTTACTTATATTTTTATATATTTACTTACCTAAGTAAATATATAAAAATATAAGATCCACAAAGAGGAGGATTTTTCTGTTTTGTTCACTACAGTATTCTCAGTACCTACAACAGTGGTTATCAAATAGTCAGTAGAGCATTGTTGAACAAATGAATAAAATAGTGAATTCTACTTCCAAAACTTTCTATAATATTATATTTTTATAACAAGCCTTATAAATGCTTTCTTTTAAATTATATGTAAAGTATATATAACTAGAAAGATATGGCAAGTAGCTAGTTTTACAACCCCCTTAATACAAACAACGTATTCAGCACTCCTCCCTTAAAAGTCTAGCTAATATATCTCCCTTGGCTACCTTCCAGTCTCTAACTTCATTCCTATTTTCCAATATTGTTATTCTAGAATAGAGCACCTTGCCACTCTGCCACTCTTTCTGTTCCATTCCTGTAAACTCTGCACTAACCTACCTCCAAGAAATTCATTCCATCCTTAATACTTGCAACTGCACTCTATAAAGCCACTGTTCTGACATAAACAAGTTATCCAATAACTTCTAGTTTTTCAGAAAGCAATCCTTCTATCTGTTCTCGTCATGAAACCTGACTTTCTCCTGCTGGTAATTCCCTTCCAATACTTACATCATTTCTGAGACCCACAAGGTAACGAAGTATCATTTTTTATCACATTTCTCAATCATCTTTACCTTTTTAAGTCTACCTTCCCCTAATAATAACAATAATTAACACAAATACTACATAGTTAGAATTACAGCTAATTTTCATGCCTTGTGCTAGGAATTATTCAAAGCACTTTATATATTCATTCATTTAATTCTCTAAATGGCTCTACGAAGCAGATATTATTTTTATTCCCATTTATAGATGAGGAAATGAGGTGCAGAACAGTCAAATAATTTCCCCAGGCCTACACAGCAGACGGTAGAACTTGGATTTGAACATAAGCAGCTTGGCTTTTGTTCACTGAGTTTATGTTCTAAAACACAGTGTACACTGACTCTCACTTCAGTAGTTGCTGCCATCTTCCACTAACATCTGGATATATTTATAATGTCTGTAATTATTCCAGCACCTGGAGCATTCAATATGCTTCTCTTCTTCCCCATTCCATCATCATCCTTTGGAACTCATGATTCCATGGCATTCATCCTATGGCATTCCTTCACAATAAAACCCTTTTACCATGTAAGCTTAACAGTTCTTCTATTCCAGTGACCTCCATCTTAATTTTATGCAAAGCCACTGACAAGCAAGGCCCTGTTTTGGCTCCTCTCAACTCTTAAAACTATTCCATCTCTAAACTCCAAAACATCCTTTTCCTCTCTCAATGGAACTAACTATCCTTCAAGCTCTTTCTTGACCAGGACAGATCTGCTCTTCATTTTCACTAGTGCTCTCATTCCCTTGGAATCCTACCAGTTACCAATTCCACTGCTCCCATTCTATTTGCCTGTCTAGCTTGGTCAGCCATTCTCAAAAATGCATTTAGAAATACCCTAGATCGGGCCGGCCCGGTGGCTCACTGCTACAGTGCGCCGCTTAGGAGCGCGGTGGCGCTCCCGCTGAGGGTTCGGATCCCACATACAGACTGGCCACTCACTGGCTGAGCGAGGTGCGGGCACGACACTGAGGGTTGAGATCCCGTTGTCGGTCCCAGTCCAGTATGGGCGCGACACTGAGGGTTGCGATCCGTAGCAGGTCACGAAAAAAGACAAAAAGGAAAAAAAAAAAAAGAAATACCCTAGATCAATGCTTCACAGAAATCATTGTCATTCTGTGACAAAATTTCCTAGTCTCTACTTAAATGAAAAAACCAAGGACAATGTAGAAAAATTTGTAAAATCTGAATTTCTTCAATTAAAAAAATCTGTCCTTTATTCTGAGATCCTTTCCTTCCTTTTTATGTGTCAAAATATCCTTTCCTTTATGAAATAATAAAAGTAGGTAAGAGGTTTTTGGGGGGGTTTTTTTGGCTTTTGTTTTGTTTCCTTATTTAGCAAAATTAAAAACCGTAACTCTAAGTCAGTCCTTAAGCTCAGCCGTTTTCCCTGTTTTTTTCCTATAGGTATACAAGTGTACTTTAAAAAGTTTGTGAAGAAACAGAATTAAAAATAATGCTAATCTTTCCATGAACTTTCTGAAGTATCGTCATGTTTTTTGTACTAGTCCACAAAATCCAAAAATGTAGAAGCCATTACACTAGACTCCTTTGCCTACTGGCTGGTACTGCTATTCATACCTAGATAATCTCCAGTACCACATCTGTTTTCTTTGATGTCTCTCCTAAACTGTTCTGTATATTAAAAAACAAAACAAATAAAAACAAACTCAATCCAGGGAAGTTATTGATAACAGTTGAGATTGAGACAATACTTTGAAAAACTGCATAAGGAATAAGAAACCACCTCTCATGATGGAACACAAACAGACATTATCAACACTCAATGTAAGTAATGTCATAGTCTATATTTTATCACTGTATCTATTTGAATATAATATTTTATCACTGTATTTATATGAATATAATGAGGCTATCATATGCTTTGCCAAAATTACAATACAGAATTCATGAAACCTTTTTGCGGTCTGCTCAAATAAGTTTAATTACTTCTCCAAACAAAAATGGAGATATGCTACCTCCTGCTACCCAAGTTTTTATGAGTTAACTTCTATTTTTAATATATATTTAGCAACATGAGAAATATTTAATTGCTAAATATATATGACCATGTTGTTGCTTGAACTATGTCCCCAGAGAGATATGTTTAAGTCCTAATCCCCGGCATCTGTGAATGGGCCTTATTTGGAAATATGTAGGTCTTTGCAGTTGTAATTGGTTAAGATGAGATCATATTGGATCAGGGTGGCCCAAAATTTAATGACTGGTATCCTTTTAAGAAGGCCATGTGAAGACAGACAGATACATGGGGAGAATGCCATGTGAAGACACACAAACACATGGGGAGAATGCCATGTGAAGACAGAGGCAGAGATCAGAGTGACTTGCCCACAAGGAGCCACCAAGGGTTTGCCAGAAGCTAGGAAGAGGCAAGGAAGGATTCTTTCCCAGAGCCTTCAGAGGGAGCTGACACCTTGAGTTCAGACTTCTAGCCTTCAGAACTATGAGAATAAATTTCTGTTGTTTTAAGCCTCCCAGTTTATGGTAATTTGTTACAGAGCCCCAAGAAAGCAATTTAGGCCATAAAGGAGAATGAGAAAGGAGATAAAACAAATATTATTCAGGCCACTGCTGAACTTCAAAAATAAAATCTGTAATTTTAAATGTACTTAGTGATACTTCATTAGAATACTTTACAATTAAAACATTTTATAAGATTGCTTAGTTTCACTTTACAAACACTAGATATCAAAAAAAGTACTTTTTTACTTTAAAATTTGAAACTTTTACAATAGCATCATTATGTTTTAAAAGTTGTTTACCCCAATATAATTCAAGTAAGTCTCATAACCTTCTAAGAGGTAAAAAGGTTTACTTGGAAGCCAAGTAAGATGGTATAAATGTGAGTTTTGTGATCAGAAAAACCTGGATTACCCATCCAGGCAATTACCAGTTGTGTAACAAATTTGGAAAGATCAACTTTTCAGAATCCTCTCTATAATTTTATTTTTACGGGCTGGGTTGGGGTGAGGAACATAATGGCTATCTTAGTTTCTAATCAAGATAAAAATGAGACATTTAATAAATACGTTTCTAATTCTCTGAAGAAATCCAAAAATTTGTAAGACATTTGAGATTTAGATGTTAAAGTCTTTGAAGAAAGTGGGAAAGGATCTAAGTTTAATTGATAATCTCATAGAGTGAGAATCGCATAGACTGATAGAAAAAAGTCAAAAGAAAGACTGTAGAGTGATAGAACCAGAATAATTGGAAGGGCCTGGTAGCAATGTGAAGCAAGGGCAAGTATAATTCTCCTCAAAGAATGGCTTGACTATAGTAGCAAATCAATCAAAGTGTTCTAAAATAAAGTACAGAAGTGTAAGGAACATGTGAGGAAAAGGTCAGAGACACACGAAATATATTTATAATAGAATGAATGTTCTCAAAAGCAAGGAGCATTAGTTAACAAGGTACCTACAGGGGTAGAACTGACCTACACTGCAACAAAACTACATAGAGAAGCAGAAAAGAAGAATTTGTGCCTTGGTAATTAAGAAAGGATAACAGCTTAAGAAAGTAAGCAACTAGAAGATAGAGTTTAAGGACACATTAACCAAACCAAACAAAGAGGGCTTAATCAATCTGGGGGGTCAGAAATTATTCTTTTTTTTTATTTTATTTTATTTTATTTATTTATTTATTTTTGTCTTTTTTCGTGTCCGGCAACGGATCGCAACCCTCAGTGTCGTGCCCGTACTGGACCGGGACCGGCAACGGGATCGCAACCCTCGGTGTTGCTCCCATACCTCACTCAGCCAGTGAGCGGGAACTGGTCTGTATGTGGGATCCGAACCCAAGCGGCGCACTGTAGCAGTGCGCCACCGGGCCGGCCCCAGAAATTATTCTTAAAATTATCTTTAGTCTATATATATATATTTTTTTTTGTCTTTTTCCATGTCCGGCAACGGATCGCAACCCTCAGTGTTGCCCCCGTACTGGACCGGGGACCGGCAACGGGATCGCAACCCTCGGTGTTGCCCCCGCGCCTCGCTCAGCCAGTGAGCGGGAACCGGTCTGTATGTGGGATCCGAACCCTCGGGCGGGAGCGCCGCCACACTTCCCAAGCGGCGCACTTATCCAGTGTGCCACCGGGCCGGCCCATCTTTAGTCTATATTTTGACTAAGTACCAAAACGACATTTGTAACTACAGAAGTTAAAAAAATGAAAATAAAAAATAACATGAGCTAACACTAAGTGCTTACTGTATGCAAGGCATTGTTCTAAATGCTTCACGTTTTAACGTTTAATCCTCACAACCTATGAGTTAGCATTATTATTATTTCCATTTTCCTAATGAGGAAACTATGGTACAGAGAGGTTAAATAATTTGCCACTAAGACATTAAAAGGCAGAATCAGAATACTGGAAGATTATTAAATAGGACTTGTAACAGGAACGAACTGCCTAAAAGTAACTTACATTAAAAATAAATTTGCCATTCCTTGCGTTTAAATCAACAACCCCCAAAGAAAATTCTTGTTTTTTCCAAATTCTTTGTTGTCGCTGTAGTTGTTGTTCCAACAACAGACTAGACCTGATCTCCTTTGAGAGATCTTTCCAACTTGATATATTTTTCATTTGTACCATGAAGCCATTACAATACTCAGATGTGTACTAAAGTTTACTATCAAAAAGGAAAAAACTCTTCCCCTCTCTCCCCCTACCCTCCAAAAAACCAAAAAACAAAAAACACGGAATTTCTTTCTCTCTAGTTTTTCCTCTAAGTGAACTGGCAAAATTACATCTACTTAAAGATATCAATAAACAAATTAGGTAAATAACCCTAAGTCCTTCTTGAGTGAACAGGCCAGACTCATTTCTTTATCATGGCTTATACTAGATATCAATGTAACAGGCTAGGCGATTAATTTAAATACTGAACTGAACTTCAAACAATGAATAAACCCTGTTTTTAAATTTTGTTTCTGAAAGCCAGTCGCAACATTTTAACAGATATTACGTGATTTTACCCAAGTCTCGAGGGCACTGAATCCTAAACATAAAAGTTCCTGAATGCGATTTCTCAATGACCTATCAACTCCAAGGCTATTCCCTACCACAAGTTGACACGTTACCTTCGGAGGGTTTCTCGCGTTGAGAAAGTAATGACACTCAGACCTGTCTCTCCTAGCATCTCGCTCTGCCCTGCCCCTTTCTCATTTTCCGGAGCAGCGTGCAAAACTCTCCTTCGAGGCGAGGCCAAGACCTCGTTCTCTCTTAAAAAGAAAGAGAAAGCAACGTGCTGCCAAGAATGTGGTATGGGTCTGAATGGGGGTGGGGAACCAGACACCCGGGAGGACCGGGACACCGCCGGGGCTGGTCTTCACGACGCGGGACCCTTCCCGCCTGCGGGCAGGAAAAGCCACGGGGCACCGGGCACTGTGAAAAGCAATGGGACAGGGTAAGGGGCTATCGAGGAAGCACCTGAACTCCTTCGAGTTGCAAGATAGCGTAGAGGCACCCGGACCAGGGAGTGGGGTGCTGCCAGTCGCAGCGCTGCCCAGGGTCCTGCCAGTAACGCCCCCGGGGGAGGTGGAGCGGCTCCTTGGTCCACCCGCTCTCCACAGGCAAGCGATGAAGACAGGGAGCCATGCCCATGCCAGGCTCTCAGTCCCCTTAACCGCATTCACGCCCTGAGTACCCTGGAACAAATGAGGGAACAGCACCCCGCGGGGCTTCAGTATTTTACCTGGTGTTACGTTCCCAGCCTACCGCCATGTTTCACAGCAGCCCGGCTCGCCCGGACTCCAGTGGCCCCCGAAATATCGCGAGAGCAAAAGCGACTATCACCGCTGAAGACGTCAGAAGGGAGACAACGTAGAGTTCTCGCGATATTCCTTCTGCGGACGAAGCGCTGAGTGAGTCAAGAGGTGTGGTCAAGATGAAAGGGGCGTGCTTAAACGGACACGCGCTTGCAAGTGATTTTAGGGGTAAAACCGCGTGGCCAGTCCGGAGTCTGACTCCGGGAAGGGAGGGTTTACCTGCGGACTGGCACTGCGAGATCACAGAACCAATCTCAGCTCACACCATGTCGTTACTGAGAGCCTCGGGCGCAGTAATTATAATTATCACTAGCAACCCTAATGCATATCACTCTTTCAGTCTCCGCACTGTTTTGTGCCCTGTCTTTGCGTTCTGATTTTTCCCGGTCAAGAATATTTAAACTTCCTTTTCTAGACACGTGTAACGCTTTTGATTGTTCGTTCCGTGTTCCTATTCAGCATATCTAAGCTCCCGTAAGAAAGCAGTTCTGTCTTCCTCACTTCTCTTTGCCCCAGCACCTACTATGCCTTCAAATATTTAAGAGAATTAATTCATCTTTTCCTATCACTTTATAAAACAGGAGGTAATAGAGGGGAGACCTTAGAAAGAAAGATTAAATATGAACTGCTGGAGTGTAAGCCCGTTCCAGCTCCTTTTGCACCTGCTATCGGATTTTACAAACATTGAGATTTAAATTTTCTGATTTATTGGCCAAAAAAGTCTAACAAAAGCATAATTGTGACTAATGCTTCTATCGTAAGCACTATTTTAAATGTTTTGTCTGCCTTCTCGTTTAATCCTCGCAACACTCTTGTAAGGTAATACCATTATTTGCCTGTATAATAAGGAATTTTGAGTTAAGGGGTAAAGCGATTTACCCAAAGTTAGACATGAGAGGCAGAGAAATCTTGACCACAATAATAGTGCTTCAGAGGTGCAAATTACATTGTTTTATTTAGTGAATTAACCTTACTGAAATATGATATCCCGTTAAATTGAAACCATCCCCCCAAATAAAAGCAGATAATGAGTTTCCACTGATGCAATTTTACTTCCAGACTTTCAGGATTAGTCCAATTAAATCGATTTAACGTTCCCACTTTCTTCACATGTTTAAGTAGAAGCCTGGTGTAGTGGGTAAGATCACAGAACTGGAGCCAGGATTTTCTGGTTTGAAAGTTCCAGTTCAGCACCCTGCTAGCATGTGATCTTGGGCACATTATTTTGTGTGTTTGTGTCACCATCATTTTTCATCTATAAAATGGACATAATATCTTATAGGGTTGTTATGACAATTGAGTGAGTAAATATATGTCTAAAATGCTTTTTCATCTTACCCACAAATGCATTAGCAGCTCTTCCTTCTTTATGGGTTCTAGATTGTATGAGATCTTGCTTGGATGGAGGCTGTTGTTTTTCAGTTTGTTAATACCATATCCCTGATGGCCAGAGTAATCTACTTTTAAAGTAACAACTTTCCCATGACAGCTGGATTTCCTACTATAGCCAAATTGACTAATTAGATCCTACTTATCTAAAAAAACAATTCACCATTTTCTAAGCTAACAAATGAAAACTAAATTTCCCCTGAAGTTTGAAAACCTGCTTCACCTTATAAAGAGAGGTGAGTGTTATCAGTGGTGTTAGATCTGGAAAACAATTTGCTTTTTAAAAAATCCATCTCATTATGGATTATATCTACCTGCAGAAGATATATTTTATTTTGTCCTTTTTTTTGTGACTGGTAAGGGGATCGCAACCCTTGGCTTGGTGTCGCCCGCACCACGCTCAGCCAGTGAGCGCACCGGCCATCCCTATATAGGATCCGAACCCGTGGCAGGAGCGCCTCTGTGCTTCCAGCGCCGCACTCTCCCGAGTGAGCCACGGGGTCGGCCCAGAAGATATATTTTAGATTGGATTAACCACTGGTCCAAAACGACCTAAAGATGCTCAAAGGGTGTTTTCATGGTATTTTTTCCTTCTCTATAGTTTGAATAAGTTTTATCAAGTAAGCAGCAAAATTAAGATAAACAAATCAATATTTTTTACTATATGAGTGCCCACAAGCACCTCAAAATCAAGATATCCCAAGTGGGTTTTATAACTTATCTCCAAATCTATTTCTCCTCCTGCTCCTCTGTGCCTGGAAAAGTCAAGGGCACAAACTAACCTCCAATGCAATCAGGTTAGATTCCTGTGTCTCCTCCTTCTGCCTAGCTGCTAATCCCAATGATCAGTCAGTTTCATTCAGGTACATGTTCTTGTAGTCTCATGCTACAAAACAGGCCTTTCTTATCACTATCACTTGCTTCAACTACAGGTGATTGTCAATGTTATATTCAAATTTTGTATTTACATTTTTAAACATTATAGTACCTCTCTCCAATCATTTTTTAACATGCCAAGTTGGAACTTAAAAGTTTTAAATCACTTTTTTACATGACAATTTTAAATTTTGTACATCAACTGATGGATAAATACCTTCAGCCTATGCACAGCGGCACTACCTGTCAACTAATACCTCTGTTTCAGTAGAGAAACCACTAATATCTGTAAAGCATTATCTGTGCAATATTTCAATATGATTAATCACCTCAAAGGGACTACAGATCTGTCAACTGAACCTGTGGCCTGGCCATTCTTGTAAGAAATATTCACTGAGTACCTTCTATATGACAAGTACTAAGTATGCTAAGTACTGAGTTTGTACTAATGACAAAGCAGAAACCTTGCCCTCATGGAATTTGTACTACATTGAGGTAGACAGGCATCAAATAAGTAACCCCCCCCCAAAAAAAAATATGACTGTGACTGGTGTCATTTGTCATAATAGTTAATACACTATTTATCTTAATGGTTCTTATAACTTATTATTATATGTATTCAACATGTTTACTATAGTAAACTGTAGTCCCCAATATCTTCCAATGTGAAAATATTCAACTGAAGTACATATTGCTTACCTTATAGTTTTCTGTTCTGATACAACATTTGAATATGGTATTTTACTTTTCATTTCTAAATATTTTTCATCAATATTCTGTGTCCATCTCTGTATCATAGATGATTTCATCTATTTGATTAGTATTTTCTGTGACCTCTCAGTATTTTTAAATAAATTTCAGATCTTTTTCTATTTTTTAAAACTTTTTATTTTTTTATTTTTTTTATTATTTTTTTTTTTTTGTCTTTTTCCATGTCCAGCAACGGATCGCAACCCTCAGTGTCGCGCCCGTACCGGACCGGGGACTGGCAACGGGATTGCAACCCTCGGTGTTGCTCCCGCACCTCGCTCAGCCAGTGAGCGGGAACCGGTCTGTATGTGGGATCTGAACCCTCGGGCGGGAGCGCTGCCGCGCTTCCCAAGCGGCGCACTTATCCAGTGTGCCACCAGGCCGGCCCTTTTTAAAACTTTTTAACACATAATTATTTTACACTAGAAGTGGATGAAATTCTTTAAATAATTTCCTAAGTATTTAATAACATTAAATACTTGAACATATATATTTAAATCAAAAAGATGACATATTTAACTCACATGCTGTAGTCAAATTTTAATTTCGATAATATGACACAAACACATGCTCAGAAGCAGATAAGTCTTATCGCCTATCAAACTCAAATGCCTTCAGGAGTCAGGCAGGTACCATACATGTCTCAATTCAAACTTTAAAACACTGTGCTGGCCTCTAGAGACACAAATGTGGCCTCCCAGACCAACAGTCCTTATAACCGTTCTTATAACAATCACTCCCTCATTTTCACCTGTTCATGTCAACATATATTAACTAATAAGCCCAGCTGAACCTTGGGGGCAATGTCTAAGTCAAGTATATTTGTATTTGTGTGCCTTCATATATGTGTGATTTTTTTGTACATGACAAACTGCCATAATTATAAAGGAAAAAAATAACAGGATACTATGAGAGAAAAATAAGGATCAACTTTCAACTGGTACAGAATATATTTTCTATTTTTCAATATAATTATCTAATTTCAGTGTTGAACTAAAAATGTGAAATAATTTTCATAAGCCAAGTCCATGCTGAAGGAACACATAAGAAACCATTAGAATCTTTCATTGTGGGTTAAGAAGTGGAAAAATATGGGGCTAGGAAATTATTACAATTTTTTTGTATCATTTTTTGTCTATATACCAAGCACATATGGGATATGTCCCTATGGCAATTTTTGTATCTTGTAAAAAATACATAAACAGCTAAATACATAGAAATAAAGGTCTTCCTAATGCTTTGACTAAAATTTGTGCATAAATATATATCATACTATTATTGTTTAATAGGACTTGACAAATACTCATTTTTTATTAAAGTTGCTTTTCTGGGCCTTCCTCTTTCCATCTGGGTCCTGGAAGGAAAGAAGCCAGAGAGAGATAAGCATTTCCACTTGACCTACACACACTTTCTCATGAACTAGGCTTAGGGGAGTACACTTGGTCCAAAAATTGATTTTCCTCTAACAAAGGGTACTTAGCTTGAGGAACCCCATTAAAGATCTGAGTCTTTGGCATAGATGGGGGCTTCTGCTTTGGTATCACAACCATGCTATGAGGGTAATGCTCTGTAACACACGGATCCCCTCTGGCACACCCAGAATAGTAGAGATGGGGACAGCTGAACCTTAGTAAGGAGAAGCTATTAAAATCTTGTCTAGGGCCGGCTCGGTGGCGCACTGCTACAGGGCGGCGCTCCCGCCGAGGGTTCGGATCCCACATACAGACCGGCCGCTCACTGGCTGAGCAAGGTGCGGGCGCAACACCGAGGGGTGCGATTCCGTTGCTGGTCCTGGTCCGGTACGGGCACGACACTGAGGGTTGCGATCCGTTGCCGGTCACGAAAAAAGACAAAAAGGAAAAAAAAAATCTTGTCTATCATAAGGCAAGTCCATGCTGAAGGAACACATAGGAAACCATTAGAATCTTCCATTCTGGGGCAAGAAGTGGAAAAATGAGGCTAGGAGATTAGTATTATTTCTATATTTGTATTTTTATCTATTTGTATTAAAATATCTTGTATTTTTATCTA